CCCCCCCACCATGCAGCACTAAACCCACAATAGTCCAACAAGGAAAGAAGGAAACCCCGTCAAATAATCAGTCAAGAGCATCCCCCACGCTTTCCTATTTTAGCAACAAATAATGAAGTATGTCTGGTACAATAATCAAGCATTGACTGTGTTTTCAAACCAGACAACCATTTCAAATTCTGGTTGTGTAAATCACCTGCTGCCAAAGCTTCACCTCTGGGATTCTCTCCAACTTCACTGTGATACTATGTTTGAACTGCAGCCCCTACTTTGAGCTGGTGTCGACATTTCAAACATAGTTTATATGTAGGTTGTTCGTCGTTCTTATCCACATTTAAGCCAGAAGCCAGACACGCGTACACCTTTACTATATCGTACATCTGGGTCCATGAGACCTGTGCGTGGTATAAAAACAATCGATGCAAAGTGTGTTAATTTGTGCTCTCCAAGTTTAATCAACAGCCAATCTTATTAAGATTACTAACACGTTGAAGTTGCTGAAATCTGCAAAGCTCAGTCTCACAGGCTTGTATTTCTATTGTATTGTTATTGTTAACTGAGTGTCAATAATTGTTTTCATTACAACCGCCCTTAGGCAGTTGAGTGGCTGTAGATAAACATAATGTGTGAGATGATAAGATGACAGTAGAGTCGGCAGCATCTTACTAAAAGAATGTGTTACTGCACCGTTTAGCTGGATTCGTTTTGCTGATGAAACACATAATGGTCACAACTCAAAGGTTTATACTTGGCAAGAATATGCTACTTTGAAATGGCTGTATTTGCTTGGGACTAAATGTGGCATTAAAAGTGTGTGTGTGGGTGGGGATGGGGGGGGGGATTTGTATGTGTTTTGCAAAGAAGCCAAACTGATGCCATTTTCTGCCTGTCATCAACCAGGGACTCAACAATTTTGCGCTCAATACGTCCTATCTGCCTCTCTCAATTTAGTCATCAAGTCTCTTCTCTCTGGGGAGGGTGAAAATGCCTTATCGTCCAAAATACATTTCACAGTCAGGCAATTTGCCTTGTTTGGTGTTATTGTGCTGCTGTAGTGAGCGTACCTTTTGCCTAAAAAGAACGGCTCCCCGTGAATCTGATATTTTCAGTGTTTGGATTGGGCAATGAGCCCAAAACCAGACTGTTTTCGTTTGACATGTCTTGAAAGGAGGAAGGTGGGTTTAGGTTTCCTGTGACTTGAGTTGAAGGTTGAGATAATATTTGAAATTTGGGGCACTTAATTAAATTAAAGAGCTGAATCACAATTGACACGGTGAAAAAGATTGCAGAGTTTTGCACTCTAAATATGTTGCCATTTATGCCACAGAAGTAGTTAACAACTGTATATGCAGCAAGTGAAATTTGAATCCGTACAAATAAGCCTCAGCGTCATGAACATTTCCTCTCTCTGTCATTCGTGGCTGTTGAGTGACAAAGGTCACTTCCTCTATTTGCCACACATCCTGGACCACAGGAAACCCTTATCACTCCACCTGTGCATCTCAAGTATTGATTTGTAAATAACATTGTAAAAATTCCTTTGGCGGTTGGCCAAGGTAACATTTTCTCTGTACATGTGGCTATATTAATGAGGTGGGGTGTGTTACCATTTTCAAAATGCCACCATCAACAGCGGCAAACAGTAAATCAATTTCCAAACCCAAAGGTCAGCGATGTAGAGAGAGGGAGGGAGAAGGAGAGGAAGGCCAAGGGGGCCATTTGTTATTCCTCATTAGAATGGATCAGTCCTCCTCCTCCCTGTCTCTCCCTCTCTCTCTCTATTTATCTCAACATCTCTGGTGCTCTCTTTCTCTTTCCTACGCTCTCTTTCAAGCTTTTTTTCTTTCTCGTTTCCCTCTCTCTCCAACTCATTTTGGGCCACCTCCATGGGAATTAAATGGCGCAGAGGAGGACTGTCACTTCAAAATGTCATACCGGTGAAACAAGGACCCACTCACACTTGTATTTTACCACCAGCTCCCCTTTCAGTTTCATACACGAGTGTGTGTGTGTTTTTGAGATTTTTGCTACCTTTGACCTCCAAAGTCAGGGAGAAATGATTTGCCTTTTCACAGCTCGACTTAAAACAGTGATGGTATCAGAGAAAAGTCGAGAATAATTAATGATGCCATAAAGCAGACAAATGCCACCATTTGTCTCCAGTGATAAAGAGATTGCGATAGAGTCACCACTGAGTCCGTGAGGGCTTTTTAGTAGGGCACTGGGTACAGAATGGCATAGTGTGGCACCAACCCATGCACTTACACAGATCTCTTTCATCTCTTTCTCCCCCTCTGGGTCCTTGCACTGTGTAACCTGGAAAGGACCATCTATCATCTATTCAAAGACGCTATCTCTCTCTCTCTGTCTTTCTCTCTATCATCCCATTGAACACACGTATATAGGCATCCAGTAAAAACCTAAGGACTTGTTGTGTTCCACTTGAAAACTGCTGCATACATCCCTCACACGAGACCTCCTTTGGCGGTGGGTTTAGCGCCAGGTCAGCCATGTGTCCATAGCGTGCCCGGCCCTCAGAGAGAGCCCTATTTGAAGATCCTCAACAGTGTCCCTGACTGATGTTAAGGGACAGTCCTTGTCTTTTCAAGTGGCAGTGCTGTAATGATTCCAGACGACAGACAGACTGGCGGCAGGACCCTCTGGACTACTTTGTCGGTGACATTAACAGGTCTGGCTACACTCAATGGAAAAGATCAAGGGCAAGAACAATGAGTGCTGCCACACTTAAATTGACACAACTATAAAAAGGGAGCAGAAAGCAGTGCCAAGCCTTGTAAAGGTCAAAAGAAGCAGTGGGGAGAAAAGTACTTTGCTCGGGTGTAATTATTATTTGTACTCTTTGTCGGCCTTTTCACAATTGTATGGATTTATTTTTAAACAAACACCATCTAATGCAGAATACTTTTTTTCCCTCTGCCACCTAAAACTCCATGAGACTTGGTGGATGGAGTATAACCAAGCAGCTTGCTGCAGCTTATTCCTAACTAATTCCTCCGAGGTTTTATTCCAACCACCGTTTGATAATGTCTTAGTGCTATGTTAAGCAGAGGGGGGTTACACTAGTCACTGCGGGGCTATTAAGACCACAGAAAATTAGCGGTGTTTCAATTATCAACACCCCTGAGGAGAGAAAAAGTGTGGCTAAAGCTTGAATTAGATCAGGTCATTCATCAGAATGAACACAGCTGGCATCGTGGTACTTAACATGCCCATATATAGTCCTAATTGCCTACCTCAAAGGTTTTTTAGTACAGTAGTCTCCTAACACCTAGTATGTGATGCTGTTTTGTCGCTAATTGCAGTGTTTATAAGCTTTCCTTAAAGCAGATTCACTCTTTTTTTATATAAATTTAAAGGTAAGTCTTGAAAAGAGAAAAACATGTTTATGCTATGTTTAGTGGTCGCTGACTCAAGCGTACTAGATTAACCTTGGCTTTTAAGTTGGTCTAAATTAAAGGTAAATGCTCCAGATGCTGTTCCAAACTAGACATATGAAAAAGTTCATGTAATACTAACCTGAGACGCAGAACCATCTGAGAAGCTGTCAATAAAAAATGTTTGGAAAGGGACAGGCACTTTGGCATATTGTTGAATAAACCATCTGTCAATCAAATTACTGCAGAGTGAAAACATCTTTTCCATCGAGAAAAGCCTTCAGGGTCGTTCTTTGCTCTTCTTTCAATGAAGAAGTACTCTTCAGTTGTGATATAACTGATGCTATTGCAGCATCTACGCTTACCTCTTCAGGAGCCACCATTGTTGAGTGTGTCGTCACACACACCAAAGCCCCGCCTGTAGCGGCCTGTATATCAGAAAACCTTCAGTATGCTTGTACTGTGTTCTGTTTATTTAATGGAAATGTTATATGAATAGGTCTCAGTCCTTTTAGGGATTAATGTCAGCTTTGCTAAGGGATCATCCACTGAGGTCTCTCAGACAGCATTTTTAGGGGCCAGAATGGCTCATGTGAATCTGAGGCTGGTTTCTGTAACCTGTTAATATGCTGCGTGGATGGAAGCTCTGAGGATTGTATCTTCCTTTTCCCACAGAGGCTGATGAAACTCCTGTCTTAGCTCCACTAATCAATATTTCTACGATAGCAATGGATCCAATGACTGCATGTAAGGTGGATTACTGTTGTGACAAAATCCCAGAGATTTGTCATCCTCTGTACACGACCTCCGCAGCAACAGCAGACAGACACAGTTACTAGTCAGCTGACTAGCTGGTAATAGCTTTCTAAGGAGTTAGCTAAATAGATTTTAAAAAAAGATGGTGAATATTGGAACCAGGTGGCCAGAAACATGACTCCAAATGAATGCTACTGTTGCTCTATGTTTGGTGCATTCACAAATAGGCGGTTGTTACTAACACGTTAGACATAGAACTGATTTATATGGCAATAATGTGTCGTGTGTGTTTGTGTGTGTAGATGTTTGTTCCTCTTTCTGATTGGATGTAAACCTTGGGCTGTACTTGAAGGCAACCACTCAAGCCTCCTGCTGACTCTTCAGCTTGTCTAAGCCTGTTTAGTGTTTGTTGACAGGTTAGCCCAGCAGATTCCGTTTTCAATCGTGGTGCTAAATGTGTCTCTCTTTGTGTGTGTGTGTGTGTATCTTTAGCAGGACAGGGTTCAGGCGAATAATGGAGTGCTGACGATCAGTAGTTTAAATCTGGCTGACATCGGCATGTACCAGTGTGTGGCAGAGAACAAGCATGGCCGAATCTTCACCAACGCTGAGCTCCGAGTCATAGGTAAGACCAAACACACAAGACTTTGTTGATATCTCTAAATACATTCAGTGGAGTTGACCTCATGCCATCTCTTAAATCGCTGTTAGATGGCGCATGAAAGACACTTACATGAAAATGATTCATGTGCAAAAGATGCCAAAATAGCCTGGTGGGGGCGCTGTAATTAAAGATCCACATGTATCTTCTAAACCCACAGTCATATTGGCAGATCATTTGCTACACATGTTCTTCTTTTAGTCTGCAGTTTTTGCTGGTTGGATCACCAAGATAATTTTACAAAAACATTTGTTCCCTTAATGCTAATTGTTTTTGTAATTTTGCCAAAAAAAGGCTGTTTAGCACATCTGACGGATGAATTAAAACTGAGCAAGGTTTGTTTCTTCCAAAGCCGCTCTGTAGAGAAGACTGAGAAGAAGTGTACCCTAGTTCTACTCTCATAATTAATAAAGGAATTACTTTTTAAACATTCATCAAAATGGTTGGCAATTATTTTTCATTCGAGCAATCAATCGACAGCTCTGCACTTCACTATTCCTCATGATTTACTAAATGTTCACCTCCTCATAATGATATTCTGTCAGTCTACCTGCTAAAGGTTAAGACCAAAACACAGTGGTTTGTAGTGTGTTTGGGCTGCAGCTAATAATTTGCTATTAAAACTTGTGAAAGGTGACATCTTGAGCAGAAGTCGTTAATCCAAAAATATAAAAATGTATAAAACATAGAAAAGCAGCAATCCCTGTCGCTTAGTTGACGTGAACATGGAAATGTTTGACCTAATTCTATCAATTTGAATATATTATATAGATCATGAAAATTGAAAATGAATTAATTATTTTTTTGTCGATAATCTGCTAATCCCTAAATCAAAAGTCACGAAATACATTGTCATACGACAACTTTGATGTATAGCTTTAGTGTTACTATTATTGAGTGTGTTGCTAAACTATTCTAATTTTCCATCCACCATCATATTATCTCTTTATTATACGGTAATGAAAACATAACTCAAACAGAATACGTCGGTATAAATGTCTTACTTGGTGTACATGGGCCCCTACAGACGAGAGGATCTGTTGAAAGCTTGCCACAGTCATGTAATATACATGAGGAGGAACTGATCTTATTGAAGCTACAATTCCTCCAACTCTGCTTTAAGATATGAGTTCATATATATTCCGCTCATGTGTTATGAGAAGAGAAATTTCTGTTGTTAGAGGAAAGCACTGACATTTCACACTTAGTGTCAAGGAATAATTGTGAGATGCCATGTGTGTATGATTACATATATATCATAGTGTGTATTGATGTGCACTTACATGCCTTTGCAGGTGCTCAGCCATGTCACTGGCGCCAGGCTCTGTGTTCACTTTAAAGAGCTTTCCGCTGAGTCGGTACGCATACAAAACAGCTCCAGACAGCGGCGCCTTAGTAATTAAGGCCTAGAGGAGCAGCAACAAAGCCTCCCTCTTGTAGCACCACGTCTTAATGTCCTCCTAAGGAAAATTCATGGAATTGAAAAAAACACCACCGTCTGTCAAATAAAATGTCTTCTTAAAAATGATGTACCATGTCTGTTCTCCTGCAGTCATTTGTGGATGTCTGCGTGTGTGCAAACAAGTGCATATGTGTGTAGAAAGAAAAGGATGTGAGACCTGACCTACCTAATGGATGGAGTGACCTGCATGTTTTTAGGATGCTCTTTCAGGCTCATTTCCTCTATAGCTCTAGCCTCTTTGCTCCTCTGTCTCCTCTGACAGTAACTTAGACCTCAGCTCTGTTGTTTTCTCCTCCTCCTGCCTCCCTCGCTATACTTACATTCATCTCTTTCAACTCTCCCTATCAGCCATCGCTCCAGACTTCTCCCAGAACTTGTTGAAGGCCCAAACTCTGGCTCGACAGGGTGGCGACGTTCTGATGGAATGCAAGCCCAGGATGTCTCCTCGGGGTGTAATCTCTTGGAGGAAGGGGAAGGAAGCTCTGAGAGAGAGCCACAGGTACCAGGTTTCTTTGTGTATAGCAGTCAGTGCAAGTGTGTGTGGGACCAGAATTGTTAAGTTTTGTCTGCTTTACTTGCAGAATCGTATTTCATCGACTTGTTATTTTATTTTTCCCTACTTTGTATTCATGGCGACAAACTGCAAAGAACAGAACCACAGTGTGACACAATACAATTTGAATTGTATAACACGTTCTGCACTCCACCACTCTCCTCCTGCTATCTACATTTCTTCCCTCAACTCCATTGTCCTTTTCTCTCCTGGCTGTGCTCAGAGCCGGTCTCTGCGCTGTTTACTTGAGGTAATTGGCCGTTCGTAGACTGCGGCACTTGGATCAATGCACTGATCCATCAGCTCATTAGCAGCATGTAAGGCCTGGAGGGTCATTAGAGCACAAGGCAGACGATGATCCAGGCTACCATAAAATCCCAAAAGGACTGATCAATGGCTGAACAGCATACATTCTCGTGTGATAGTGGTGGTGGCACCAAGGGAACTCGCTGGACACCTTGTTTATTTAGAAATCAGGTTAAGTGCAGATCAATGCAATGCCGCTGTGTGCTGGAGAGGAGAAGAAAAAGGAAAAAGGAATGTTAATCAGACAAGGAAAACCTACCCCCCCTCCCCCTCAAAGAACCAGCGGGATGTCAGTGATTGATCAGGATTCATACTGTTTCTTCTCACATGGCAACAATCAGAGAAATATGCAGTGATGGTAGAATGCACCTTCAAACAACATGTCCTTTGTATCTTTAGCATTACTAGAAGTGAAGTTTACATATACGTATGTTTGCTCGGCTTCAAATGCTGAGTCAACTTGCACAAACAACCAATAGACTGTATACCTATATGTCTCCATTTTCTGAAATGTCGCCATTTGATGATATTTGCACTGTTGCAGTTCTCACAAGCTCAAAACATTCAACATTTTCTGGTGCGTCATTGTATAAAACAAAGTGTTGTTTTCACAAATCACCCAATGATGCATTTCCACATTCTGTTTGGTAACATCTTTATTTTGTGCAGGAATGTACCAGCAGGAGGCAAAGCCCACCTGCGGGCACATGTGGTGACGTAGTGGGGGTCCAGATTTCTCATTTGATTAGGGATTAATTGTTCAACTGGCTCAGCAGCTTTTCTACACCTAACCTTTGGGATATCCATCGCCAATACAGTGGGACTCCAGCTGGTTTAGTTTTGTCTCAACTCACCCTGTCAGACGGCATGTTTGGGAAACTAAAGGTGCGATCTAATTGCTAGTAAAGATTTCCAGGCCGAGACTATTTGGTTACAGCAGAGAGAGGCTTTTTTTGAGGCTAGCAGCAGAATCAGCATAAAGACTTTGTGTTGCAAATGCCTGCTAAATGTTGCGCTCATCTTTCAGATTTATCCTCCTCTTAACTATTGAAAGGAAAACGCATCCAGACCGCAATGTGCAATATCAATCGCGCTCATAAAGGTGAGATTTCCCGTTTGAGATTTAATGTTACAGCCCTACCCTGAAGTGGGTGAGCTGCATACAAGACGTTAGACTTTGACATTATTGCAGCATCTCTCACAAACCTATTCCCCTGTCCCTGGCTCGTTAGCGTTTACTTTCCTCCACATCGAAATGGGGCTGCTACCAATGCTATTAAAGCGGTGGCACAACACTAATCCATCCCACTGGCTCAACTAAAATACCCATAATTCCTTCTAATCTTCCAGGGATAATGTTTTCAAGGATCTGGAGCAAGGGAGAACAAATCAACTAAGAACAAGGCAGGATCTGATTAGTTAATGAAATCACGTTGCGGTGATACCTATATCAGCTCATATCCCAGGCATGTATAACAAGATTGCCTCATAACAGGGTTGCTGTGCACTTATGCAGGGAGCTATGAGGTTAACGATAAAGCGCTTACCTTAATTTAATTTAGCTGCTGACCGATGCCAGCAATTGCAAAACGGATATAAGAAATAGCTCTCAGGAATATTACCTTTAGATTGAACCACTGTGTTTAAGATTGTTATGCTGAACAAAATGTATTGCTTCATCATGTAATGTGAATCAATTTGTAATCCTGCTACTAAAAAAGCAAGAGCTTTCTGGATCTGTTGCCAATACAGAACGTGCCGTGCTAGCGAATAAAATAAACAGTTCCTGGTAATATACTGAGTTAATTATGCAATCCCTCTTATGTGGTTAAAATAATGTTTTTTCATTGATGGCCTGGCCTCTTAGGTTTTTTGTTACACCATGGAGAGGCAGAGAAGGCTTTTAGATTACAGCCAATAGCTCACTTGAACAGCGGTCAATAAGATTGAGGTAAAGTGCTTGTTTATATCACACTGCTCAAGTTTAATGTACCCCACAAATTCCCCCAATATCTTAATTGCTCCAGGGCAACCTTTTGAGAGAAAAGGGAACAAAGTAAAAGCATTTCAGACAAATAATGCACCTTACATCTTTATCTTTTTTTTTTTGCTTTGGTGAGGAGGAGGCCTGGCATAGCCTACTGCACAGTTTAATGGCAAGTCTTATCGCCGTGACATCTCATATCCATAACTCTTTGTTATAGCCCATTACAAAGGAAGGCCCTTAGTTCAGTTAGGAGAATATACCCCCGGCTCCACGGGAGTATGTTTAATTCTTTCAGCCTTTAAGGCGATGTAGGTCATTTTGATCATTGTGGGAGGTCCAAGGGCTGCCTTCTAGGGATCTTTAAGAAAAAAAGGGATCAAGTTCTACTTTCAAACCATTTATGTTTGAAACACCGGCTGAACCCTATTACACTGTTGTGCAGTTCAGAAGATGAGATGGGAGCTCCTAGGGAGGATTTGCAGGGCAAGGCATTTATCAAGTCGCTAATTATTTCTTCGGAGTCCAATGTGGTCAGGAAATTGTTTCACTGTACAACCACGATTGACGGGCAGTATCAAAGATTGGTCAAATACAATTCGATCCACTGGCATGACTTTTCTGACCAAAGAAATTAACTGGAGATGGATTTTCTATCGTGGCTCGACTTTGTAAAAGAGGTGAAGCTCTTTGTGCTTTGCATCCATCAAAACAAAGTCGATAACACATTTATCCCACAAGCATTGAATGTTTTTACTTAGTGTTGTAGTTTCTGTCTTTGACAAATAACTCTTCAAGACAGAAATCACACGGCAATGATGGTGAACAACCTCCCTTTGTCTGGTAAACTGTGAGATCACAATGTAAGTCTGACAACTGTTTCCCATCAGGAAACATCTCTGCACATGAGGCTTGTTTGTAATAACTTTGATAACACAAGGCCAAATTAATTATTAGCTCAACAAGCAGTGGCTGTCCTGTTAGCTCCGGGGAATGTATTTGAACACTGTGATATTCCATGATCCCTGCAGAGAATTCCCTTCATGCTTCTTGGGAGATAAATAGCTGGTAAAGGCTCAGTGTTGCTTTAGGACATCTTGACTTCGTTGTGACAACTGAAGGATGAGCTCTGTAACAACTAGCCTCTCCTGCCTCTCTAATTCTTTATATCCGCTAGAGATTTACAACGTATATTATTCAGTGATGATCAGTGAGGGTGATTGGCTCCAATGTGTTGTCGGGGCACTGCTGCAAGTACCGTAGCTCGATCATGCACAATTACAGCTCACTGCTGACGCCTCTTTATCAGGACGAACATATTAAGTCAGTATTTATTTCAGGCTGTTTACTTTGAGGAACAAGATAAGGGAAAAACAATGATTACTGCCACCACAAAGCCAGATAGAAGCACCGGTAAGCTGCGAGACAGGAGGAGAGTGTAGGATGTAAGCACAAACTTAAAGGGATGAGATAGAGCACATCCAGTAATTACAGAGACAAAAGAGAAAGAACAAGGACAATATGTTTTATAAACTAGCACTTTGATAACAAGAAAGGCAAAATGATCAAACATGAGCAAGTATCTAAGATGAGTCATTTTGTGATACATCACAACAAGCTAATATTTGTATCTGATCATTAATTGATGAAATAAGGTTTTAAAATGAATGGATCTGTTGCTTGAATAAACCCTTTCAGCTTTTAACCGCAGCATTCTGTGCAGCATGACAGCTGTGGCCAGTTTTCCACTAAAGCGAGAGAATGCTTTTAGTAAATAGAATTAATCAAACCATTTATTTTGTATTATTTGTTGCCTCAGTCACCTGTGACCCTGCCATTCATTTCCTTTTTCATAAACTAAGTGTGTATGGATTTCACCAAACTGCTTTCACTTAAACTATTTTCTTCTTTTATCCTCTATCCTTGACTCTGCTCAAATTGTGCTTAAAAGGGGCAAAATTAATGTAAAGTGTTCTTAAGTGTTCTTTGTGCACGTTTTTTTGTACACACTGTATTCGACGCCTTGCTGATATGCTTTTAAGGATCCATCCTCCTACACATTTTCAACAGTGGCCATCATCCTTTGTGAAGTTTAGTTTTTCAGCTGAAATGTGTGATAATGTTCAAGTGAGTGAAATGAGAAAACAAACCAAGCTCATGTATGAATTTGATTGTTGCTGTGAGATTAAATAATGCTCTTCAGATGAAATCTAAACATGGAAGACAGGAAGCATAAGCACTTTATTCAGGCAGTGCCTTGTTGCTGACCTATCTTTCATATTTGGCTTCACTCAAGCACCTTGTTGGCTGGTGAAGTAGAAGCAGTACTCTCTCTCTGTCGGAGGAAATCTGTCAGGCTTGACTGATGACACCAATAGATGAAATGAGAGTCTGGTGCAATCTGGAAGAGTGGTTCAACTTATAATCACACAACCAGGCGGGTCGAGTTTGTTGCTCCGCTGGTGAAATTTTACTGACGTGCAAGACTCTATCAGTTAAAATCCAATAACTGTGTGGGCTGGATCTGAGGAGCAGTACTTGTCGTTTGCTGTTAACTTTTTTTTTTCTTTTCCAGATTAGAAATGAAGAGCTTCAGACCGCTTAGTGGTCATTGCATGTCATTATGTATGTGACCCAAACAATAGGATGAATCTAAAAAAATCTTATTATTGCTTCTTAACAAATCTGGTTTTAGTTGTCTTATTTTGGGCTGCAACTCTGTTAAATGTTGTTTTAGGCACAGCCTTTTTTATTGGGTGTTATGCTGCACCGGCCTCTTTTGTTAACGGTGTATTCAGGGTAAGGTGTCTTAACCCCCTTGAACTCATAAGGAGACTTTCCTCCCGTAAAGTGAGCCTGCACTGTTCTTATCAACTCAGTGCTGAGAAATCAAACTGTAACTTCTTCACACTGAGATGTCACGCTGACGCACAGGAAGCCAATTCAAATTCACTGAGATAAATTCAGGCTAAAGTACAAATGCTTTAGGACACTGGACTCTCTCATTTAGAATAGATCAAATGACAGCATGCAAGCTTCCTTTATAAACCCAACACTGGTGCACTGGCCTAGTACGGTGATATTTATGTTTTGTTTGTTTTTTTAACCCACAGAGTTACTGTGTTGGATAATGGCAGCCTACGGATTTCCAATGTTACTAAAATGGATGCTGGACTCTACACGTGTGTAGCCAGAAACCAGTTTGGAGTAGCGAGCAGTGCTGGCAGCCTTTTGATTAAAGGTAAAATGTTATTTTCTTGACTTGGCTTCACATATCAGCCCTTGTTGGTTTACTGTAAATGGCAGCTGTATATTGCTTGTTTATTGTTTAAGTTATCCCCAATGCTGTTTCCTTGGTTATAACTGCTCCTAAACTACACAGACAGTAAATAATACAGCAACAATCTCCATCGATTAAGACAATATCGCTATTATACCAAACAGTACAATTACATCAACACCAAACATGTAAGATATTAAACATTAACAGCTTGTCTGCTTTTTGTCATGTATTTTAGGAATGGGATTGGTTATGTGTTAAAAAAAATATACAGTATATATATATATATATATATATAATCCATTTGAACATCAGGACTCCTGCAGGTGTTTTATTCAGTCCTTTTAATAAACTAGCACATCATTTACGTCTGTCAGTATTTTGGAGGGACACAGAACAAAAGATGTGGCAGTGTGCACAACCGTACCAGTGCTGCATTCAAGATTAACCAACGCTGACCCTCACTGCACACTTGATGAACAAACACTGTGAAGCAGAGTTGCTATAAAGACGGCCCTCTTCATACCTCACAGATATACAGTCCAATTAGTTGATAGGCAGTGGCTGGAGGAAGCAAGACATGAAGCTCATTGCGTTCATGCGCCTCTATGTTTAATTCATACTTTTTGCACCGTGGCTCATAGCCATGCTCGGTTTGTCTAAGATTTCAATCCATTTAAATCACTCACTTCTGCAGAGCAATGCGTTTTTTCCAGGTCTTTCTAAAGAGCAGAGTCAACAACAGTGCTCTATTAAAATGCCTTTTGGTGATTCCACTTCACAGGTTTTTTGAATTGCAAATTGGCTCGCGTAGAAGCACAGTTTACTGTACAGTGTATTGCTATGTGTGTCTATTCATAGTGTTGGACATAGATGAATTATATATTTATTTAAATACTGTACTTAAGTATAGATTGAAGCACATTACTTTGTAAGAAAGACTTAAAAAACATAAAGTGATCCCCTAAAATATTAGTCATTGTGAGTTTGCTCTAGCCACCATTATGTTAGCTACTGCTTACATGTCAGTGTATGTTAATTATTAGCACTGAAAGAAAACATTATTAACAATAAAAAAACTAATTAGGGCTGCAACTACAGAATATTTGCATCCTTGATTACTCTGAAGATATTATTTCAAGTAATTGATAAATTGTTTAGTCTATAAAATGTCATCTCATTTTCCTACAGCCCAAGGTAACTTTTTAATCAACCAAATTATTGAATTTGATAAAACTGATTTAATGTAAATTTAAGATGAATCGGTTAAATTGTTTCATACTTTTACTTTTTTTTACAATTTAATTTCAATCAAATATTTAATATGTTTCAAGTAAATGGGCATACCAACACATTTCAGCAATTCATATGATAATTCAATTGGAAACATTAAATTCCTGCATGTATACAAACGATACAAACCAAGGCCATGCTCAGAATACGCTGAAGGGAATGAGGGAGCCAATTTGTGATTGTCCTTCCAGTCATAACAGGAGATGAGCGTGACAGCTGAGCAATCGGAGGCAGAAAGTTTTACCCCTCTCGTTTTGCATCTGGTGCCAAACTTCCCTAAGACTCACCTGGAATGGACCGGCATGACCAGTCGGTTCTCCTTTGGGGGTGTGAGATAAACAAGCTGGCTTGTTTTGACAGAGCTGAATATAGACCGTTACTCCCTCTGACATGCTTCATTGGCTTTCCTGTCCATTAGTTGCTTATGACATGCATGCATAATTCACAGTGGACTAGTGTATAGGCCTCTCAGCCCGTGCTACATTCTGTGCACCGCACTGCTGTTGAATGAGACATACAGCCGAGATGGACGCAAGATTATGTTGATGCGCACCAGGCTGAGGGATGAAATGGGATGGCTTTTTGTCTCGGCACAAACAGAGCCAAATTATAGACTCGGATCTGACCCGCCGTAATGGTTGAGTTTTTCTTTTTGTTTGTTTATTTCACTCTGTTGTTGTTCGGTGATACATCAGACCATACTCTGATTTATTAAACTCAAAGAAAGAGATGCAATATAACCTCCCTGGCAGACTCAAAAGTAATTTATCTTGTTTATTTTAACATTCAGGACAGGATTTGGACAAAGGGCAGGATTTGTTTCTGAGTGTGGCACGTTATTGCAATTATTTCTCAATATTCCGGGAACATAAAGCAGTATAAAACAAGCTTGCTAAAAAAAACAATAGTGGATTACTATACATACAGAACAAAGGTATGTCGACACTGTTACATGCCCACTTTCTAACTCGGTGCTGTCTGCTTACAGAGCCAACAGCGATCACCAGTCCAGCAGGTCATTTGGACGTGACCGTGGGGGAGAGCATCGTGCTGCCCTGCCAGGTCTCTCATGACCCCACGCTGGACCTCAAGTTTACCTGGTTCTTCAACGAGCAGCTAATCCACTTTGGAAGCCACTGGGCGTATTTTGAAAAAGTTGGTGGAGTAAGTGCAATAATGTCTTTGTGATATACAGTATATGATATGTTGCAAGAGAACTGTGAGCTACAGAAATCATACACACACGTGTTGTTTAGCTTCCAGTATCTGAAGGCATGGCTTAAAACAAAGCCATATGCAAACAGTTACATCATTAACAGAACGTCAGTATCTACATAACCACTTGCTATTAAAGATAAAATTGTAGATATATACAGTAGTTTAAATCAAAGTGATTTTAGTTCATGGCCGCATTCAGTCCAGTGTGATCTTAAGTGGGCCAGACCGGTAAAACCGTTGCATAATAACCTATAAATAACAACCCATCCAACTTCTCTTTCTTTGAAAAAAAAAGAAGCAAATTCATGATTACGTTCACAATTGATAAACATTCCATTTACAAAACAGATGATGAGCAACCTGAGATGTCTCGCTGATCTGTCAGCTTCGACTAAAAACAGCCGGCTGTTTCCTCAAACCTGACAACGATTAATCTACCTTCTCTGTACTCATGTGTCCGCTGATAGCGGCACTGAATATTATATCGTTTGAGCATTGAAAGATGCTGTGTGTCTGAGTCCACTTTTCTCCTTTTTTGACAAAGACTATTCCCGCCGGCGGAACCTGCATGAACAGTAGCCGAGTCTGGACAGTTGTGCGTTACATGGCCTGTATGTAATCACGTGGGATCTAAAATAGCGTCTCCAGCATCGGGCCTGCTACTCTTATTACGACGCCCAGTGGACATTGGAAATTGGAAAATTGTAATTAACATCTACTCTATATATATATATATATATATATATATATATTGCTACTCTCATTCAGTGGGCCGGATTGGACCTTTTGGTGGGCTGGTTCTGGCCCTCGGGCCGTATTTTTTGACACCCCCTGGTTTAAAGTGACTCATAAGGAAATAAGCTATTTGAACTCCATTAAAATAATCGCTGACACATTTACGTCTCATTCCTCTACGGCTTAATTTCAGCTTCATCTTTTAAGGTGGCAAAGTATTGAACACTCGTTCATGATGAATCATACAGATGAGATTTCTCTTCTTGACTGAGCAAGAAGCCTCTGTTTGCCTGTTTTGCTTGTTAATATCTCTTCCTACATTGACAAAAGTAGCAACCAAGGAATTTATTACGCAATGCCCAGCCATGTGTTACACTTGATCATCGAACACCACGTATTTTTTCTCTCTTAATTAGTAAAAGCAATTATGAGGTCTTTGCTTCTTTATCACCTCTTGCTTTTTTTTTTTTGCATTTGCCACAATAACGACAACAAGACCTTTATAATTGCATTTCGCCCTGCGGTTCATCTGAAGACTTGACTCCTTTGCATCGAACCCACGCCGACGTGTTGAGGTAGAGCAACCATTGAGATACTGACTGTAGAAGTTCACATCACTTAAACGTTTGTGATCTATATCTGAACAGTGTTCAGATATGACTTTCACTATTTCACTATATATCCAACACAGCGTAAACTCAAGAATATCAATGTTTAGAAGCTGAGTACCCTAATACCTTGTAATATTATCATTTTAAAGCTTCAGTAAACATCAAACAACAAACTTTAGGGCTCAGAAATAAAAACCGATTTGGAACAATTATATATTTTGGGCTTGTTATTTTCGAATTTACTATTAAAATGATGAGTAACGTTGAGAAACACTGCACGACCCTACTTTAAGTCTGCTGGTAAAGAATATACTGTATCCTGCAAGTGTTGAACAACATGATAATGATATGCCTCCAGCATTTTGCGGTCCCAAATAGAGATCTGCTCCTTGCATGTTGTAGAGCTTATTGCTGCTGCCAGAGCTGCAGTCACGCTACTGCAGTGGCTGTGATTGATAAAATGATGGGACTCATGGTGTCTATTCGGAAAAAAAGGTCCATCTGGAATTGAAAGACATTTTTAAGAACAACAGTATGGAACAAACTGAAATATACTTTCCAGCAGAAATTAGATGCTGAATATTTTTGCCATGATATGAGATTATACTACTTAAGATGAAAGGGAGGCAAAAAGGCTGACGGAAGGATGCATTGGCAAACCCCAGTGAAACCCAGTCAGCATGTTCAGTATTTAGTTGAAAAATACTGAAAAAAATAAACTGAATGTTACTGTACATCTCTTTAATCATCATGTTTTTTTCCCATGTAACCCAACATCCCATCAATTATGACAAGTCGGCATTAACATAAAGCAATAGCACTGCTTTGTAGATACAGACTTTACCTGCAATGGAAAGATAAGGCCGTTTGACTTTTTATTCTATGTCTAGAAGCCACACAACATATGGCTACTGTATTTTGCAGGACTTCTTACAGTCTCACTTGCTTTAATAAGCATGCTTGGAGATTCCTTTGTTCATGCTGTATATCAAATTTGCCAGAGTGAGAGATTTGTAACCCGCTCCGTCCACAGTTATATTATTTTAATGATGGCAGGGAGTGAATGACTTGCAGCAACCGAATTTTTATCTTTAGAAAATGTCCCTGATTATACATCAAAGTAATTATCGAGGCTCATATTGTTTCACAGTCCCTTACATTCATAGATAAGCCATCAATGTAACATTAGCTCTAACTTTAAAGTTCAACGCTAATAATGCATTTGGCATTGAATGGTTTTCTCCAGATTAAATTAAATCAGAAGGAATAAAAGGGATGGAGCTGAAAGAAGAAAGAAGAGATTTTTAATTTCCCACAAAGAGCTGTCCTCATAAATGATCACAAAAACCTTCACTCAGTCATTTGGTGCGTCCCTGGACTTGTGTTTTGCCTTTCTCTTCCATAACGTAATAAATTGAATGCCAAAAGAAATCACTGTGACATTGCACTTGTTCCTGCAGTCCTTTTAGTTCAATTCGCAACATTTTACTGCTTTTCTACTCTACTTTCTTACTCTTTTTGTCGTCTTTTTTTCCTAACTTGTGCACTGACAGCGCTCGGCTGGTGACATCATGATCCGGAACATTCAGCTGAGGCATGCTGGGAAATATACGTGTGCTGTTCAGACCAAGGTGGACAGTGTGTCTATTGCCACTGATGTGGTAGTCAGAGGTAAGGATGTCTCCCAAACTTAAACATGTTTAAAAAAAGATTTGTTGTTCTGGCATAATCTTGGTGTTTACACGCAACATCACCACTGTAGCTTCATTTAGCAAAGCCATTCCTACTAAAAAACCCTCTGCCAGCCAAGAATGTCACCATCTGTCATAGGAAATGAAAACATTTAAACACAAGTACTGGAGCTGACTGAATGGCAGTCGTCGCCTACTGAAACAAACAAACCTTCCCGTTAACACTGTACTGTGTATCACAAAGTGAACGAAAGAATGTGAACAAAGTCACTTTGCGATATATAGTTCCAGCACGATGTGGCCTCTACATATAGTTCCAGTGTTGGAGGCAAAGTTTGTGGGACCGGCATGCATCGAGATGCAGACGCACAGTGATATTCCACCGTGCTCTCCCACATAAACCCCCTCGCAATAGTTCCCGACCTTTTTGGTTTACATATGACTGCTCATCAAAGTTTACATATGTTCAGGAGTTGTCAATTTGTGATTTTTCCTTACAGTATCCTTAGATTGTTTTATTTTAATCTTTAGAAAATGTTAAACTATACAGTCATTCACAATAAAGCAAAGATTAGAGAACAGTAAATTATGTTCAGGTATTTTCTGTCTTTCTTCATATCCTGATAACCTTCTCTGATTAACCTTGGAAACCGCCATGTGGGGAACACTTGCTATAGGGCATGTTATGATCTTTTTGGATTTCCTTAAGTGTATTACAATAAACTGCACTTCAGAAAAACAAAAAATGTTGTTCTTTACTACTACTAGTGTAAAAAATATCATGTTTGCACTGGTCGTAGTTCGGTGTTGCACTCACAGCTGTCCTAATACTCGCTCTCTAATCAGTTTGTAACATCTGCTCTAATTATGGCTCACCAACTATGTGTCTCCGTTCTGCCTCTTTTCTTCATTAATCTCTCCAGTATATATCTTCCCATTTAAATGAACTCTAACTAATTATCCTTCCAGGTCCCCCGGGCCCCCCTGTTGGCTGTCAGGTGACTGAGATGACAGAGACCACTGCCTCTCTGTCCTGGGGACCCGGAATGGACCATCACAGCCCCATCCACAGCTACACCATCCAGGCCAGAACGCCCTTCTCTCTCGGGTGGCAAGCTGTTACCACCGGTAGGCTGGTTTCATCTGACAGTCTGATGAGTGAATGTGTTAGTTATTAGATAAAAAAGAGGGAAGGGGGATGTGACTGGTATCCTTTTCAAGCACCACACATGAAGTGACAGTAAATAACACATCATCCGCTTGGCTAACTTTCAGAGACAGATCTTGCAGGGTTTTGATGAAAGGTTATTTCTGTGATGTCTCTCAGTTCCTGAGCTGCTCGGGGGGAAGCAGCTGTCATCCTCCGTCATTGACTTGAGTCCATGGGTGGAGTACGAGTTCAGAGTCCTGGCAACAAACAGCATAGGAACAGGAGAGCCCAGCAAACCCTCCAAAAAGGCCCGCACCAAAGAAATGCGTACGTATCAGAAGCTCCTTACATTTCCTCTGCTGCCAACAGTGGCACAAATTGTTCGCGCATTATGCCCAGGACAGCAATTAGATCCCTTCAAAGCACTTTATTGTACCAGTGTATTCCAGAGAATTCGCCGCTTCTTCAGGGCGCACAACACATGAATGAATTAAGTACACAATAAATATGTTGATGCCTGGCAGCTCTAGTCACACAGTTTCATCCATGTGTGTGTGTGGAGAGCGGGCAGTGCATAGAAAACACTAATAGATGCAGTATCTTTGGTTCAGAACCAACATGAATCAAATCTAGTCAACAGAGTGGATTAAAAAGAGATTTAAAATTATGAAATACAATTAAATTGAATCACTCACCCTGAATTTGTAATTTAGTAACCATACATACAGCGTTATTGTACATAGTGCAGGTGCATGCACCTACATATACAGATGCATAGATAAGTACACACATATACACCAACTTGGATGAATATAAAAAGATACAGCAATATATTGTCGCATAATGACCAACCCATAAAAAGACACTCTACCTGAGAGCAGAGCAGTACTTTACGGCTTCATAAGATGTTTGGATTTGAAGCTCCACTTCAAATGTAAATCCACTCTGTGCTGCACATCAAAAGGCAAATTCTGATTTTACACAAAGTCTGTGAACAGGTCATGTGGAGTTCTACTGCATATGTTAAAAGAATGTATAAACCCCGGGTCCAGAGGAGGCTGCACTAAATCAAATAAATTGGCTCAAGTGATGTCACAGTACAAAATTGGTTGGGGCTAAAGACTGTGAGTTTAACTCGGGGGGGAAATGTTGGTGTGGAGTTAGAAAGAAAGAAGTGAGGAGAAATGAGCTCACCAGACCTCTGCAGCCCGCTCCTCATCTCTGCTTGAGGCAAGCAGCTCAAGGCTACATCAGCTGCTATCTGAATCTCTGACCCAATGTGGGGGCCACGTTTTGACAAAGAAGAAGAATGCATGGAATAAATACGAAATCTTTGTCCATCATGAGTCCGATGGAGCACTCTTTAAAGTCAGAATTTAAGAAAGGTCTAACTCTTGAAAATGTTGAACATGCTCAATATCTCTAACTACATGTTATTTAATAGTGAGCAGCACTATACTCCATACTGTCATTTCAAATTGCAGGTGATTGAATATACAAACTGGTCCTTCTAACACTGTGTTTGATCTGTTAGTTCCCAGGGTGACTCCGTCCAGAGTGAACGGTGGCGGTGGGGGACATTCAGAGCTGGTCATCACTTGGGAGGTAGACTTGTATTTATATATATATATATACTGTATACACAAACACACACACATTACGGTATGGACTTAATGTTTGAATATTTCTTATATTCATTTATTTTAATGTTAAATTGAAACATACAGTAATGATTTAATTTAATTTTTCCTCAGTCTAATACCACTTAACTAGACAGAGTGATAAGTTCATTCAAGGCTTGCAAGTACAGTACCACCCTAATCCGTGCATAGCTGCATTTCTTTTAGGTATTCATGTTGTATCTGTTGGATCAGTCATCTTGAGTCATCCCTCTGACTCATACCTCCTTAGACTGTTCCAGAGGAGCTGCAGAGTGGTCCGGGCTTTGGCTACGTGGTGGCTTTCCGCCCACTGGGGGCGCAGGGCTGGATGCAGGCTGCTGTCACGTCTCCGGACGCCTCTAGATATGTCTTCAAGAACGAGAGCATCCCTCCCTTTTCCCCTTACCAAGTCAAAGTCGGGGTTTACAACAACAAGGGAGAAGGCCCTTTCAGTCCAGTGACCACCATCTACTCAGCGGAGGAAGGTGTGTACTATTACAACTTTAAAGCCAACTATGTATGCCTTAGCTGGACTCGGGGAATGTACTGCAATTTTTTTTTTTAAATCAGATTTTATTTTGATTGCAGTTTTAGTAATTGTCATTTTAAACACCCAGTGCCACAAAGTCATGCATGAACATCAAGTGTATTAACAACTGTCAAGTTAACACATGTCAATTTCAAATAACGTTCACTAAAAGTGATCTGTATGAGGAAACATATTTTCTCATACAGATTCATAATATGACTGATGTGGTCCCACGTGAACACAAGACATTTCCGCCCGTATTTGGGTCATTTCACATTGTGTTTTTGTCTGAGCTCTTTTCACTGGTTTGAAGTGGGCTGCACTCATGGAAAAAAAGATGATGTCACACATTTTCATGCACCAATTGGGATTCACTAATATTTAAACTGACATCAAACCACACCCACACAGTCTGGAGATCAAAAGATCAAATACATTTGTGGCTGGCAAACTCTTAAATGATAACTACAAATGATTTCTTCTGAACTTAAAGTTAAATTGTTAATTGTATATTTAATGTTACACAGTTTTTAGGTGCTGTACTGTTGTATTCAGTGGACCTTCCAGGACTTAATTTTGGATCACTCACTCCTCCTCACACAGTGATATAGATAGATTGGATGGAGCTAGTGTGTTCAAAAAGCCATTCCTTAGACGTGGGTGTAGTGAATCTGTGTCTTCCTCCTTATCCTGACTATCCCGTGTGCCTTTCAGAGCCCAGCAGAGCTCCAGGGAGGCTGAGGGCGAAGAGTGTATCAGCGTCCGAGGTAGAGGTCACCTGGAAGCCGCTGGCCTGGAGCAACAACCGCAGACGCATCCTGGGCTATGAGGTCAAACCAACACACGCCCACACAATAGGAATTGTATAAATGTAGTGGACAGTGCCAACAGCTAATGGCATATCTTGGATCTGTTTGTGTCTATATGATTATTCGTGCATGAAGTCAACTACAGTACATGAGCAGCATGAAGCCCCCCAGGATTCATGCCCACACTGGTGCAGTTACAGATGGAGGTATTGAGTAACAAATCAGATGCAAGCTGTTAAAGTATAATCTGTGTATTTTGTGTGTGGTTTCAGTTGCAGTACTGGGGTGAGAGGAAGAAGCAGGACACCGCCATTGTGATCAGGACAGTGGAGAATAAAACTTCCGTACTCATCAGGGATCTGGAGGGCAGCAGTACCTATTACATGTCCCTGCGGGCCTATAACAGCGCTGGAGTGGGTCCACAGAGCATCATAGTCAATGTTACAACCAAGAAACCACGTAAGGACTCTCAACACAGTCTGGGGACTGACTGTCTTTTTGTTCATGTTCTTTTTCCCCTCTGGCTAAAAGTGCATGGTCCATTCGGTATATATTTCATTTCAGCATTCATGTTTCACCAATTAGAGTGAAAGTAGGGAATAGTCACCACACAAGAGCACCGTAAAGGTACCATATAGAGGATTATCCACCGTTTTATTTATTTTGCTGCCTCGCCCCTTGTTGCATGTCATACGCCTCTCTCTCTCTCTCTGAAACTGAGGGACGTCATGTCACACTCACTTGTCATTTGATAGACATGGCAAATCTTTGATGTAAGTGCCTGTTTAATTTCACGGTCACACTGTGTGATTTGACATGCAGGCCTCGCTGGAAAATGATGTTTCATGCTGAGAGGTTTCCTATATACATTAGTTAACTCCTCTTTATATTGTTTCACACTTTCCTTTCTATAAGTCACCTGTGTTGACCTGCATGTCAACCTGTGCGTCCTTGTGCGCATGCTTGCAAACAAAACAGGTCCACTGATCAAAACAATGCTTCATGGAGCCACTGGCGTTCTTCACAGGGCTCTGACAGATGAGTAAGATCATATGTTAATATAGGTTAAGGGTATAATATCACAGTTTTATTTGTTTCACACTCTTCTTCACTCTCCCCAACCACCCCCTTCACAAACAGTCGTACACTCACTCCCACACACACGCATTCCTAGAGTCACTGCTCTCTCCTAGCAGTGGGATGATGAACTGATAATGAGAAAACTCCTTCATGCCGAGTTGATTCTGGACTTTACTGTTTATCGACCAGGGGCTTGTTGTTTTACTCTCTCCTCTTCCTCCCCTCGTCCTCCTACTCCCCTCGTCCTCCTCCAGCGCCCAGTCAAGCCCCGGTCAAAATTATGTGGAACACTTCCAACTCCAAGGTCATCCTGAGGTGGGACCAAGTACACGCTCTGGAGAACGAGTCAGAAGTCACAGGATACAAGGTAAGAAGTGGAGAGTCTGGTGTTGTCGATTGTAACATAACAGAGAATGACAGACAGTCACTCGCTCAATTTATTCAATATGAGAACACTGTTTTTTTTTAGTTAGTTGGGGTGGTATGATGTATAGCTGCGTATTCATTCAATTTTGAAGATCTCCACAAATTGCCTGCTCTCCTAAAATAACAATCCCTTGATAACCGCAACGCCCACATCCTATTATATTTTGCCACCTAATTTCAGCAACAGACAAAGATCCACAACTTTTCTGGTTGTTTCTCAAGAGGGGAGATATTGCAGGAAATGTGCTGTATACATGTTACCAGTAGATTGTCTGCCATCTTCTTAGATTGTGACATTTGACTTGTCATAGCAGCATCATATGCATAATTACATATTTTAGTCACTACTTCAGAAATTACATTTAAGGTTTGGCTTATCAATAAAAAAAAGACACTAATCTGTATTCTCATAGGTTGAGAATATCAAACTATCATATCGATGTCGCTGCACATTATTCTCACTACATAAAAGGAGTCTCCTGAGTGTGGGGCTTACTGTATAGTGAAATTGGGAAGATTAATTCAAGCTGCAGCTGCCTGGATGGATGCATCTCCACATTCCCCTTATCTCGGCTGCACCCTCTACTCCGGTGGTCCATCACAGCCATGTGCGGCTGTCTGCAGTAAGATTCATCTTGTTAGTTTCAGTGGTAGCACATTGCATCTCACAGAGCCGTCTGAAAGAAACACAAACCAGAACTTAGATTTTCTTGTCAGTGCATCAACAAGGAGACTCTGAAACCCCTCATGTGATTCATTGTGTCTGAAGTGGTTTCATGCCATCCATCTATACCTCTCTGCCTCCTGCAGGTGATGTACAGCCAGGACAAACACAGCCATCCCAGCGTGGTGGAGACCAACACCACCTCCTTGGAGTTGTCACTACCGGTCAACCAGGACTACGTAATCCAGATTAAACCCTTCAGTGAGGGAGGGGAAGGCAGCAGCAGCCGCCAGATTACCATCCCCAAGATAGCAGGTTGGGACAGCGCTGAGAATATGAAACATGACAATCGACTCTGTGTCCGTTTGTGAGACGTCAGTTCAGTTCAGTTCAGTTTTGAGTCTCATGAAAAATCGAACAGCAAACACCTGTAAACTGGTGTTTAGAGCACACAAGATATTATTTGGTGTCTTTCCCTCAACTTCTTTTGTCTACCAGTTTGTAATTGTACAAATATGCACTGTAAACACAGCATGAGCTGCATTGCATTATGGTCTTTTCAGGCTGCTGTCTTTAGATGAATTGCTATCCCTGACACTTCTGAGGTTTTTTTCCGCCCTATTAAATGTTGGTGCAGAATGGTGAGTCTTTAAATAAGCCTTTTCTCCCTGAAGCTAAGTATGAATGTTTTGTTTACAGTTTGTCTCAGCTGTAAAATAACAGTCTCTTATCCACAGACTGAGAAATATACATATCATCAACAACTAAATGGGCTCAGACATGCAAAGAACATTGACAGTAGCTGGTTGTTTCAGAGTATATTTTTCCTTTTTATCAAACTTAGTCCGCTGCACATTACTACAGCCATCTCCTTGGAAGCCATAGTTGAGCGCAGCGTACCAGTGCCATCTATGGACATATCTGTGTACTCACACAGCACTATAGTCCTTTGCACTGAATACATTTTATATTTTGCTTGCTGTATTATTTTACTGTGATAATTAGACGTTCACGCCAAGAGTTCCCAGTCAAACCATGTTTAAAGAGCAACATTTGTCGACCACAGCAGACTAGCGGACACAAGACGTACACCTGTTGGATTTTGATCTGCTTGTGTATTTCAGGCTCCGTAGCCACAGGAGCAGCCCCAGAGTCTTCTGCATTTCCCTTGGTCAACCTTGCAGCGGTAATCCTCACAGCCAGGACTGTACTATGACAAACATCTGCATCAACCAGGCACTCCAGCTGCTCATTACAGTAAGAGGAGAAACAGCAGGTCAGAGACAACAAGAGGCTGGCAGCCACATTCCCACCTGCTCCCCTTCCCCATCCTCCTGTCTTTCCTGTTTTTTCTACAAAGATCTCTTTGTGAGGAAGAATCTTTCCCTCCACCTTTCTAAGAGTGATTGAAAGGAACTGGCTCCTTTAGAAGTTGGCAGTGAAAGGACACCGTGACTCGACTGCAGTCTCTTTGAAGAGGTTTCTTTCTTTGCTCCCCTCTAACCGGTGGATATTCTCATATGGGTTTAACCTTGGAGGCCCAGCGGTCTGTGATGCACAATAGGATGTGTATATGTTTCCTCTGCTTTGTAACGGTTTCTTTAAGCGGATATCGTATGTACCTCTGGACTTTCCTTGGATGCTGGGATCTAAACTGGGGTTGGAGACCTTACATGGCTCATATTTATGTGAGTGAAGTTATATTTATGTTTAAGACAAGCAGTGGATGAAGTAATGTCCCTCCTCTCTGTAGACTGTAGTCTTTGGAAAGCTTCCTGATCTGTCTAAGAAAAAAAAAAAACCTGTTCCTAATCCCTGCCCAATACAGGGAGCTAAGCCTCATTGCTTTACGACAAACCAGAATTTGGGACCTTTGTAACGTTACCTGGATTTTACTCATGCTGTTATGTTCCACCACATTACATTGAAACCTCAGAGTTGCCATTTAAACTGACTGTAACCAAAGGTTTTGAGCCAACTTGGTTCAATGCCACCTGTTGTATCATTGTGAGAAAATGCAGCGCCTACACTCCCAATATGGCTTCCATTGTAAACAGCAGCATCGTGTTGATTAATTGATGTCTTACCTTCCTCTCTCATCCATGATAAGTCTGGCACGCTGGGCATTTTCAGCCGCATTGTTGTACACTGTATGTATGAAATCCTCAGGTCCCAAATGAGCCTTAAGTCTTATGGTTATTATCCACGTTGTTATAATTCAAGAGTTTAATTTATTTTCCTCCCCTGTTTATTTGCATTGTATTTTGGCTCACTCATGCTATAATTTATGAATAACTGACCATACTCTATGCTATGTGTTTGATTTTTCACTTTTTAGATCATATTTTTGGGCGTTTTTGGGCTCAGAGACAACATGCCTTTCTCCTAAGTCTTCATGATGCGCATTGTAATACAGTACAAGTGGCAGTGATAACTGACTTTTCTAAAGTAGCTTATTACAAAGTAGGGATGGTATTTTACTATCTAGTAAAATACTGTTTAGCTGCTGTTTGGCATGAGATTGGTCAGTGTGTACGTACCTACGTTGCTTAGGATGTCTGAATGGATCAACCTGCTTTTAATAAACATAATGACATTTTCCTCATTTCTTTCTTTGCTGTCAAAAGAGGCCAAAAGAGACAGAAAGGCTTATCAGGCCATGCTTTAAAGTACAGATCTTTTGGTGCTATTTAGCAGATGGAGTTTGCTCTGGAAAGATGCTAGTAAGTGGGCTTTGAGGTAAGGATGAACCGTCAAAGTTTCATTGATTTGGCATAAAGATAATACTTTAAAAAGTGGTTACAGTTGATGCTGGAAATGAACATGAAAGTCAAGTAAAGTATAGTTACTTTCAGTTTGTATTACTGCACATAAACCTGCAACAACTTCTACAAATCACAAAAGTAAAGTAAAACAAAGTCAGTGAAACTTCTAATTACACGGTCTGGTTTTATTCTAGTGACTGATAACAGATCAGCTAAGTGCAATCTCAACAAGCAAATCATATGTTTTACATACCTTGGTGGAAGATTAACAAAGTATTAACAGTTTGGGGTGGGAGAAATATATATATATATATATATATATATAACAAACTCTGGAGTACTGAGTTGAACCAAACATATCCTGTAGCTATGTTTCACACCTTTGTTGTACATGTATTTCTGTGCTACAGAAAATTATTTTTTTACGGTACGGAAAGCAAGGGAGGAGAAACAGCACCCACTAGGACCACTTGGAAACAGTGCCCACTCAAGCTCACAGTCTCATTCCAGCTCTCCCTCCAGTGATTCACAGTCACCAGACTGGGGTCAGGAGGAGAATAACAGATTATTTGAGTGTGCCTGCTGTTGAGTTATGTCCAGCGAGTGGCAGGAAGATGTGGCAACAAGTGAAATTCTGTTATTAGTGACTCGGTGTCAGCACTGTCGAGCATTAAAATAGGATCAGCCAGAAATCAAGACCTAGAAAGCCGATACAAAATACTGTTTACGAATGAATTTAACCACTCCTGGGAAAGACAAAGCATGCATGTGGTAGCACGCTTGGGAATCCTCCAAAATGAGACAGTAGACAAGTTAGCAAAGGAGACCATCAGTCGAGAATATGTGAAAGTAAATATTAAACTTTCAAAATCAGAGGGGAAAAGCCGAGTTTGTAGGGAAATAATCAAACGGTGGCAAAACTATTGGGACAGTGCGACAAACGAAAGCAACTGAGATGAAATACTAAATATAAGAAGTAAGAAGTAGTGGAACCAACAGAAAAGAACAAGTAATTATGAGTTGATTAAAAATTGGTCACGATACATTGAGTAGTACACTATTGTTCACAGGGAAAACATCCTGCTGGTCATTTTAATCAAGAAAATGAGACAATAAAGCACATCCTAATTTCATACAGGAAATATGAAGAGGCTGTTATTGCAGGACTAACAGGGGCTATGACCAGGTGAGGCCAGGAATAAATATGTGATTAAAAGTGTAGACACAGAGGAGGGAAGAAAAATAATATTTAGGTCTTCATCTTGAGTTCCCAGAGGTGAATATTTATCTACACTGCTCTCCATTACACGTGTAACTCAGGCAAACTAACATACAAATTCAAGGAAATTACTCCAAACGCAAATCAAACTTATGTGTGTGTATGGCCTCACTCTTGCTCTCTCCAGGAGTAAACATCCAACTGGACTACACAGCGTGTTCAGGTAACAGGTAAGTAATCCTCACACATTACTGTACAATGCAAAAAGCAAACAAAAGAAACATTCCTACAAGAAAGAGAAACTCTCCACCAGTCCAACACAATAAATATCAGGAGATGCTGTGCAGGCCCCTCCTCAACAGTAGTGCTGCGTGGTGGTTCTGCTCAAAGGAACAAACAAATGATAAACAGTTGAGCAATGTTCCACCCTGCAACCTCACAAGAGGTAACTGATACTATGTCATGTGTTTGCTCTAATCTACTCATCTAAGAGAGACGTTGTGGGTTTCTCACCCACTGTCATTGACTAAGAAGTCAAATTCACCCGAATGATGCAAGTCAAAAAGTAATGATTATGATTAGTCCAAATAAAAAACTCTTTTTGACATACTATACTATGACTTTATAATTTATTTTTCTCGTCATGCTATATTACTTTTTTCACTATTTTTGACATACTACACTATGACTTTTTTTCTAACTTTATTATTATACTAAAATATGAATTTTTTTAAGGAGTTTTTTCAACATACTTTACATTTACTTTTTCTCTTACTTTTTTGACATAACTTATTGACCTTTCTTATCACTCATTTCGACATACTATAATATTACTTTAATATAGTATACGATTACTTTTTTCGACATACTATATTCATGACATTTTTATGGGGTGTCAATATATCAATTTAATCAGGTTTTAATGGTTTCATCATCAAAATTATGAAAACATGGTCGTGTTTTATTCTACCTTGGGTAAGTCCTTTTTGAAGATTTGTACTGTACTAATAACTGCCCCCACAACCTTTGAAATTAAAATTCCACCCCTGCTTGCAAACAATCTAAATTAAGCAATAAATGAGCAAAAATAACATTAAGACACATGGCATCTTAAGTGTATTGATGAATTCCTTTTCCTAAACAAAGCCGGCTGCGCTTTTTCCAGATTGAAAAATACAGCAGCTGCAGTTCATCATTGGGCCTAGAGGGCACCAGATGTAATAAAAGAAACACATGTGGAAGAGATCAAACAGAGGGATTCCCTTCTCATCTTGTTCTCTGTTCTTTATTAATTTTGAAGGAATGCAAGTACAATGTACGGCAAAGACACGGCACCAAGCAACAGAGAGCAGAAGAGATGAAGCTGCTGAGGAGGGGGAGGAGGGGGACTCTAGAGAGAGGAAAAGACTAGGTTTGAGGGTCAGACTTTGGCACCAGGATGTCTCCGATTAATCCCAGTCTAGTTCCTACTCGTCAGACTTCCAAGGGCAGCTCATTCCAGGACAGAGGAAGATACGTTTGACCTTACAGGTGGATCCAAGTATGATTTGTATAATTTTGCCCCTTAGTAAAGAATGGTGAGAAGGATTCCACGTGGATATGCTGTATGCTTTTGCAAAGCTCTCTTTTTTGGTAACTGGTGCCCCCTAGTGTACATCAAACCCAAGGCCATTAACTACTTTACGTCTTCACAATCCACCAAACAGCACCAACTATACAGTACAAGGTATGCATGGCTGCATTTTTTTCACCTTCCAGTTTGACACCCACATCCATGATTAATCATCATTTTAAAGGATTTAGAACCAAAGTATGAAATACTATGAGAAGTACACTACACATCTGAAAAGCAAAGTTATACCTCAGTAACACCCTCATCAACCTGACATGACAGTTAAACAGTTCTTCTGAATGAATTTTGATGCTGCCCGTATTGACTTACACATGAAATATGACTTTTTGCAAGGAAAGAGAAATTATGCAAGTAATGTTAAAGACACCATAATTAAAGGGAAACCTTGCAATGTCAATGTTATGCATTTGGCTCTCCGGCATCTCTGTAATTAAAAGTAGCTTGTTCATACAAATATTTTCATATAAAATCAGAGTTTGTACAATTTAACTGCTACCTTAATTGGAACACTACATGATGCCTTTGGCATCCCTCTAACATTCATGAACCAAAGAACACAAAAGTAAAAGTTCAGAGATTCTGCTCCTACTGTATATTTATTCATAACACTGTACTTCGCTTAACAGAGTTGTTGAAAGAAAAGGGCTCCGATGCATAATCCCATTTCTACAGAGCATGTTGAAAGACAATGAATATGTGTTGTACCATAAATAGCTGTAAACAAATATCAGTTACCATAACTTATTGTAAGCATGAAAGGCCTACTTCATGTTTCTTTGCTGGGATATTAAATCAAAAGCAGAGTGATGTGTAGAATAAAGATACATAACAGCACCAATGGCTTGAATTAGATGAAACTGTTAAAGGGTTGTAACTGAAGGAAGAATCTGAAGCCACTGTGCTGTGATTCAATTTTGGGAATAACAAAACTGAACGTATTGTGTGCTTGATATTTCCTATTTCTTATGAATACTCTCCATTTTCTGTCAGGAAGCTTAATCTCCTTTTTGAAATGTCAAAGATCAGATTCAACTTCAGATTGTGAACAATTTGGCCTTATTAATATCTGGATCATCCTGATCTATACTTCTTATGAGTTAATATACATATTACTCAATTACAATCCAATGAGGTAAAAAAATGATCATGCAAACATTATCTCAGATACTAGTTTTACCAATGCAGCAACCCGTTCTGTGACTTAGTGAACAGAACGGGTTGCTGCATCGGTAAAACTAGGACAGCCTACTCTATGTTTTGATTACACAAAATGGCCAAAGTGGTATTCTATCCAGCTGAACTCTGAAAGCATATCTAAAAAGCTGGGAAAGGAGAGAAACTGGGCTCATTCTGAAACATCAGCATGCTCAGAAACTACATCGTCATCATTTGAATGAATACAACTGGTTAAACTGTGCATATTAACAGCTTCTAATGTCCAGACACGTATGCAAAAAATTCTCCAAAAAGTCCAATCAACGTCCATCATGATGCAACAACTCACACATCATCGTCAAATACATTCTACAGAAGTAAAATCCTTACGGTGACACAGACAGAGGGAAGTATAGCGATCAGACTAGCTCTGGCTTTGGTCCGTAACAGACACTTGAATAAACACCACCAGAGAACCTTGTTGGCTATACATGATCCGTTCTACTCGGTGCATCCTCATCAGTCAGGGTGACGGGGGTGGGACAAAGCTCATTTATTAGACTGGCTATGCAAGAGTGAATATCCAAAGCAGGATTTGCTCTGCTCCCACTAAACCCTGCTTCAATAGATGTGTTCTAACAGGACTGGAGCTACATGTAATGGATTATTTTTCTTATCAAGAGTAAGTACACACACACACACACACACACAGTAGGTTTTTATCAGCAGTTTTTTTCAGCACTCACAACAGGAATCTGATTATTTTTTTTTTGTTATTCAGTACAGCAGCACAGACATGTAAATGACACTCCTAGGTGCACGACCATTTTTTTTTTCTATTTCCAAATAATACTTTCTGCATGGGATGGGTACCAACATTGCACAGAGCGTTGGCTTATTCCACAGTGTGAATGAGTGCACAGATTGCCCTTTGACCTTTGAGAAATACTTAAGCAAGTGGTTTAAATACAGAGGCCCTGAGAGCTTTGCAGGGAATTTAGCTGGATTCAGATCTAATATCTTTAATTGTTCCAGATGTTTGGAATTCTGGTGGCATACTGTCGACCAATCGAAGTGACGTTTATGTTGTTTTTTTCAGCATGACTGACAAAATCACTCTGCTGAAAATGTATGATTTCAATAGTAAAATGCTTGAATAACAATAAAACATAAGGATTTTAAAGGAGTCTTGTTCCAGCTTTGTGTGTTTGTGAATGTGTGCAAGGGTCTCCATTTGAGCGCCACTGGCAGTAGTCTATCAGTAGGGATGGCAGGTGGCAATTTCAGGTCGGGCACTGACACTTTCTGTCCAAACGGGGGTGCTCTCATCTCAAGAAATCAGGACTGCAGGTGAAGAAAGAAGAGATGGTCAACCTTAAATCCCTTAATCTCAAAAGGAGGGTTGTGAGGCCAAATCCTGGCTAGATATTATCGTCTGGAGTCAAGATGACACCATACCTCTGATGTGCCGTGCCGATCCTCGGTGGATGATTCCGTTTCCCTGACAACAACTGCCATGGTCACCTGCATGTCTGGATGCTGCTGCTTGGCTTCCTGTATTGCAATAGCCAGAGCCTGTAAGGAAAGAGTGAACTATCGAGTGAAAAACAGGAATAAATGTATAACTTTTGTCAAGAGTTTTCTTAAATTTCTTATTCAATAATAGAATAGAACTGAAATTCACACAAAACAGGATTTTGGTTTCAGAAACGCACTGATTTTTCTACATTAGGAAAGTCAATTTTAAACATTTTATGCTTGCAAATAGAGCTAGCTTTATCAAGCATATAGCTTAACAAAATCAAATGCCAAATATTGTCTTGTTCCAGCCTCTCAAATGTGAGGATCTGATGCTTTTCTTTGTCATGTAGTATTGTAATATTATTGTAAAATAAATATATGTGGTTTGTCTAGATATTGGGTTGAAACAGGCATTTTTTTCTCTTTTTTTACATTTGACATATTATTGATAATGAAAATAATAGTTAGTGGCAGCCCTACTTGAAAAGAACAATTTTTTTGTGTGTGCTGATCTCATTTATTCACTTGTTTGTATTGTATGTTATGTCTTTGTTCCATGTCTGAAATAATGGAAATAAGCTTGTTGATCCGATCTGAGATAATGTTTACAAAAATATATGCATGGTATACTGCGTGCAAGAATCCATGACTTTTTTGGCATGGCGATGAATTAATTTAAAGGATTTTAAGTGCTTCAATGAATACAGGTTAGAAACCAAATACCAAAAAATGAGAATAGACTATTAGAAATGTACAGCATTTCATACCTGAAAATTTGCAACATCTACAAATGTCCCAAAAACTACAACACCCAAAGCTAACAACCAGTAACCACAATGCACATGGCTCTTTTGATTTGACTGTGTTTTCCCTAAGTTCATTTCAGCTCACCTGCTCCTGGTCTACATCATCGTCTCCTGTGATTATGATCCTCTTCTCAATCCTGGTCTCTGAATATCCTCCTTTCACCGTCTACAACACACAATGGCTTTTCTTTTAATATCCTTCAGAAGTACAGCTATTTAACTGTATTCAGACGTAAAAGATGATACCACTTTATCATAATCATACAATAAATTGTGCACTTTGTAAGTTCTTAGGGGGAAACACCACCTAAATTAAGAATGATATTTTCTATACGTTATTTCCATGGCCTAGGAAAGTTATTTAATATTTCAATAGTCAATATTTGTGAACATGAGCTAATCTCTTTCTAAGCAAGAAACCAGAGAAGTCAACCCTGTGGCATCAAGTAATCGAGTATAAAGTCTTGAGCTGCTCCAGAGACAATGACACTGGTCTGGTCCTGGTCTTGTCTTGGTCTCAATCCCTCAAAGTCTTGGTCTCGATCTCGATACACTCTGGTCCTGGTCATGACTTGGTCTCCGTGACCAGGGCCTCATTCCCCTTTAAGCTTCTCTACCTTGGTGACGTGAGTGGTTGCCGAGGTAACATTTTCAGTGAGGAGGATGGGCGACCCCGACGCCTCTCTTCCAAAACTGCTCATATGCACCTGAGAAAGCAGAACAGCTGGCGGCATTAGCAAATACATTAAACACGCATGTACAAATCATTACAGAGTAGAAGTCATTATGTTTTGACATTTAAGGACATCCAGTCAGGCTTATATTCATAAATGTATTTATTTTGGTCTTTGTATAGTAAGTAGGTTTAAACCCGAGGGAGCAGAAGGGAGTGTGCTGCAGGTCAAGTTAAAATTGGAGAAGTCCCTCTGTTTGTACTCACAGGGGATACACTCTGTCTCGAAGAATAAGAACCTTCACTCAGGCCAGTGATACAGTGATCCTGAAACAGACACATTCATTGTGTGATTAGTAATATTTTAGTTCTAATTGCATCAAATATTCTTTTTAATTTACAATTTTTCTCGCTAAAATACAAAGCTAACCTGATCCGTGAACTCCACGATGGTCGTGGTGACCTCTGACCCATTGGGCTGAGTCTCTGTCCTGACGTCCGTCTTCCTCACCGTCGGTGTGGGCATGACATCACTGGCCTCCCTGCTCAGCGGTGTGACGGCAGAGATGCGGCTGGCTTCTCTGTGCGACTCTCTGTCCACTGATGACGACACCGGCACTGACCTCTTTGGTTTTTTGGGTACTACAGGCTTAAAGACATACACAAGTGACTGTAATGTAAAACAGGATGAACAATGCATTTTGACCTCAGTGCTTAAGAGATATATTATGTATTAAAATGAAGATAAAAGAAGAAAGAAAAAAAGGGAGAACATTACACTACACTGATCGATAGAGCATTCAAAAACCCGTTTCATTACAGCCAATCACTGTGTCCTTTGTCTGCTCAAGATTTCATTTCAGTGCATTATAAGCATTAATTATATATATTCAAATCCTTTATGTTATACAGCTTTTTGACAAAACATAAAAAACCACTACACATAGAAAAACAAGTTGAAATGTCTGACAAAACACTCCAGGTGTGGTAACACACACCAGTTTGTTTTTTTCTAACCACAGGCTTGTAAACAAAACTGGCACTAACTCATCAACAGCCCACTGGAAACTTGGGTGGCACTAACAGCAGGATATGGTGGTGTTAGAGGAGTGGGGGGGGTGGAAATCCAGTCCAACTTCATGTTGTTTTGGAGGAACACTTGCCTGAATCTTTATTTTACCTCTCATATGCTTCTTGTTAAAAAACACATGGAGATATAGTTATAAGACACTTTTATGATTTGTGGCCATTTTTGGATCATTCACATTAACACGCACACTCAACTGCACTGCAGTTTGATTAAAAGAGGACACGTATTTTTAGGTGCCTAAAAATAGCATGGTTCTTCTTACCTGCCAAATCAAAACAAATCAAACTAAAGTAGGAGGAGCAACAAACATACTTGATGTAAAAACGTTGGTCTACCTGCATATCGGACCGTCTGACCTCTGGTCGGATTTCTTCAGCCTGGATGTGTTTGGCTGGAGGGCTGCTGCTGGCGCCTCTGGACAGAGGGGCTGACACCAATACAGGAGGTGGTTCAGAGGGGCCCTGGTGCTGGAGCAAGTCCATGCTAAAGCACAGACCCACATCGGGTGACCCATCCCTCTCCCCAAGCTCTGTCATGCCCTTGGAGAACTCCTCCATGCCCGTGTTTAGGTCCGTGAGGATGGTGAAATCTACTTCGGCCTCCAAGCTGGACGTAGAGCTGACTGTGATGCTGGAATATTTGCGCTCAATGCCGAGGTGGGTCTCCTTCAGGTACAGGATCTCGTGGTCCTGGTCATCCTCTGAGACGGAGCCGAGGCGTCTCTCCCACAGATCCCTCTGCAGGGAAGACTTCATTAGACCACGTAAACTACATCTACTTATAAAACCAAAGAATGTGAGCTGCAGAACAAACAAAAGCATTTTTGTGTTTTTCTTTCCAAAAATTACCCATAAAAACAAAATCATCAACAGAATCAGAATACGTTATAAATTAGATTTAGTTATTGTGTAATTCTAGCAGTTAAAATGGTGTGTTTTGAATTGTGATGGTGTGATTTGCCTGTTAATTTAAATAGTAATATATCTATAAACTGTGCCTTCGACAAAACCAGAACAGTGAAATTAATTCCACATTTTTGCATCCAAACACAAAGTAATGAAAAGAACAAAAATTGAAGAAAATGTGTTCATAACTAAGTACAGTTTGTTTACGTATTTACAAAGAAGTGGCTAAAAAGGAGGAAAGACAAATATGAGACCGGTGGAGCTGAGCGACGACTCACTGAAGCTTCGTTGAAAAGTTCTTCGTGAATAGCAGGTGTGGGAGGTGTGTCCTATAGAGGAAAAACAAACGGGAAGAAAACATTAACGTGAAACTAAGAAAACGTGTCAAGTCATACAAAATAACAACAACAAACCATGACATCAATCTATACTTTAGCCAATGAGTGTTATTTCATCATTAAGGAGAGAGCTGAAACAGAGCCTTTGTTTGTCACTGCATTGACATGATGTTCTGTTAGTAGCACAACACACAGCATGATCATATTTAGAGAAAATCATGTTTGCGATGTTCTTTATTCACAGCTTTTAAGCCAATTGCTTTTGTACTGGGCATAGCTCTCTGCATTATTATTTATAAATGTAAACACTTAACTCATTCACCAACTTCAGGGCTTATGTTAAACTTACACGATAAACACACATACGAGAATTCCCAGAGATTGTAAAGCTTGCTGCTACTGTCAAAAGCATGCACATAGGGGTATATTTCACAGGTTGACATCATCAGAAATGGCCGCAAGTGCAATGGTAATGCCATGCACTGAAAAGGTTAGATTTTTCAAAATCCCTTTCAGGAACGAGGTATTCATAACCGCACATGCAGCATATGGATGCCTGAGCCCTGAAGAGGTTTGGCAGCTCTGCAGCTTGTGTGAACATCTAAATCACCTTTTTTCGTTTTTCTGAGGTGCCAAGGCAAAACATTTGTATTAAATGTCCTTCACAGCCATTTACCAAAAGGATTTCAAAGATGTGAAAAATAGTTTTTTTCAAAGAAAAAAATGGTGGAAAGGTCTCGCGCTCCTTGCAACAGCAGCCAGCTTTATTCTGTGAGGGTGTTGGAAGGAAAGACCAGATGTGAACGTGACAAAGGGACGGCTGAAACTTAAGCATAGGGAACTTTGCTTAAAGGCCCGCGGCATTCTGAAATAGCCAAGCAGATGCATTGCTTTGCGAAGGGGAACAAGGGAAAGCAATATGCTTTCTGGGTCATGGACTTGAACTGAGTTGATCAATGATGCGATGCCAAGGAACGTGAACCTTTGCTTTCTCATACACAGCCACATGAGTTCTGAAGTATGTGTGATTTTTTTTTTTTGTTTTTAGATGGTAAAAACAAGATTTGCACGACATCGCCTGAAGCTCATGCAATGCTTTACTTTCCGATGATTGACAAACAGTTTAGGGGGCAGATGGGTTTTACCGCTTGCTTCCACTTGGCTGTTTCTTGGCCGGGCGCTCTGTAGTGGATGTGGCTGCTGTCCACGTTGCTCTGCCTGTCTCGGGACCATTGCATTTTCAGAGGGAGAGTTCGAGGGGGAGCTGTTGGAAATTTGGAGCTAGAGAGGAAATTCTCTTTAAACTCCGAGTTGTTTTGAAAATGGTCCTCATGTCCTCTCGTCCGCAGACTTTGTCCTGGAGTGCCTCTGCAGTCTCTGAGCTCCGGTTGTCCAAACAACTCATTCTTAATCTGTTGATGCAGTACAGTCTGCTGTTGATATGACATTGCAGCTTCACTGTGGTATTTGGAGGCCCCCGTGTTTTCCTTGACAACATCTACAGCAGACTGCTGCAGTACAGCAGTATCATCCACTTTCCTTCCTGCCTCAGGGGAGCCGTCTTTTGATTTTGTCATCTGTACGTCACCAGTTGCACCAAAGACGCCTCTATCAGACCAACTTTGAGTGTTTACGACGCCTGTGTTCTCCTTATTCAAAGACTTCTTTGATCTTTGTGGCTTGAGAGGAACTATTTTGGTGACTTCGGAGTGTGAGTTCGCTGTTTTATTGCAATCTTGCGCTACCGTGGGGCTTGGGGCTTTTTTTCCCCAAGTCTCACAATGTCTCCGGTCACTCTCATTATCGCCTCTGTTGCCTTTTGGGAGAGAATCCACAGCCACCGGAGTTTCGAAGTTCTTTGTTCTCTCTTGATGAATGTTGTGCTCATATTGACTATGCTTCATATCTCTGTTGATCATTCCACTCCTCTGTTTGTCGTGTGGAGATCCATATCCATTTTCTTGAATGGCATTCCTCGCTAATATGGAATCATGATGCCAATTTGTTGCTACTGTATTTTCCCCAGTGTTCATATCCAGTCGTCCTGTTGCTCTAAAGTCAGATTCTTGTTTCGGAGATGTCCCAGGAAGACTTTTTAAAGAGTCCCTGGCTGTTTGACAGTTGTTTATCTTTGATTCAGTCCAAGGTGTCACAGACAACATGTCTCTACCCAAAGAAGAGGGCTTACTCTTTTCCACTTTAGAGTAAGTATTCACTTCTCCTTCATAAGCATCCTGCTTGTCAATCAATTTGCCATCACCGGTCGCCTATGTTGACATAGAGTAGACAGTTGCATTAGCCTAGGCAGATACACTGCTCTTCCACTTGTCATGTCATTGTTACCCCACGTAGTTACTGTAGTGATTAGTGAAGAAAAACAGTTAACTGGGGGGGGGGGCTCAAACTTTGATGCTTTTCAAGATGCTTTCTTTGTTTTGGCTCAATGTTTTTGACAGAGAATTGAAAGAGCTGACAAACTTGAAAACATTTAGAATATCTTAATATGTTTGACACTGATTGTAAAATAGTGAGTATTATAACTTGGTAGTAGGATCCCGTTCTTACTGCTTTCCGCTCGGGGGTTCCTCCAGGAGGAGTAGCTGAGGAGAGGCGTTTCTCCCTCTGGGCCATCTTGCTGTTGGGCTGCCTCAAAGCTCTCTTCAGCTCATTGATGCTGGCCTGGTGCTTTTGAAGAACATCTTCTGGCTTATCCAAGAATTGCTGCTTACACAGTGAAGGGCACACCAGGAAGACAAATTAACATAAATGAAAATCCTAGATCTGGATCTCGGATTTTCTGAATTTGGCGACAATCATTTCTACAGCTGATCTAAATGTGGATTTAAGTTTTCTATTTTGTAACTGTGCTGTAGGATGAATTACAGGCTGTGACACAGGGTTGGACAACAGAGGTCTTAATGTAATGACCTCATTACTGCGCACACAGATCACGATTACTGTCACAATCTGTCTCTTACCTTGCAGCATTGTAGTCAAAAAGAAATTTAATTAAATGTCTGGAGGTAATATCATAATTACGGGGGGTCAGACTCTAACTGTATAATTTCCAAAGGTATTTTGCTGTTGCTGCACAAAATACCCTGGTATAATGCCTTCGTGAACACCTAGCAATCTTTGGAAGATTGAGCACAAAGCCCCACACATGAGGTTTGTAATTATTCACTGATCAAAGGTTGGAAAGATAACAGATACATGAACTGTAAATAGTGTTCAGAAAATATGAGACTGACATGCAATATCATCATATTGCATTTAAGAAAGTGGTGCTCCAAACGACTATGTGCGCTCCATTGCTGTTGCCGATGGCTGTGTTCTAACAGTAAGTGAGAGTCACAGTTATGGATAAGACCTGGTGAGGGTCACACATACAGCACATGCCAAAAAGAGGGGACAAGCAGTACCTCCTGTTTGGGCCGATGGGTGGCCACATCCTTGTGGCCAAATCCGAGGTGGGGCAAGTGAGATGGAGTGAAGGGTTTTGAGCAAAGCAGGAGGTTGAGGATTGGTGGGGGAGAACAGATGCGTGCAGAGACAAAGAGGTAAAGTGCTGCAGGTGAGTCAAAAAGGCAAGGGGGCCAGACAGCCAGACAAACAGTTGACACCACCAGGGCTTCTGACAAAGACTGTTAAGCCATTTAAAGTTATGCCAAGAAGACAGGGACAATCCATTTCAGTATCAGCCAATTGATAATTAATGCAGTCATACATGTGACTGAGCATAAGTGTTTGGAGAGGGGGATTATTCCCATACTTCTTCATCCAAAGATTTGGTGAGATGGCATTACAAAAACGACAAAAGAGCAGACCCTTTAGTGACAAATGCAATGGCAATATTTCCTGAAGTACTTAATAACACTAACAAACATATACCTGCAGGAATAACACCACCAGTTTCATCAAATAATATAAGTAATGTATATTAGAAAAAGCCAGTTTTGCGCAACAATAACGTATGTAATTAATTCTAGTTAAATTAAATAACGCATGGGTGCTGGTGAACTATTTGTTATTATTTTACCATTAACATTTTACCTTCAAAAAGTATGCTATTTCTCTCCTTACCAAACAAAAACTAGGACTTTATCAACTTTAAAAGGCACCAGAATCTACATCTGTCAGTAAAAGAAAAAAAAGCTATTTTCATGTTAACATATGTGACTGCACATTGTCTCTTATTCCGACTGCATATTCTGAAGTCGTGCATATTATGTATTCGGAACGCACCTATGACGAGTATGCATGGTTGTGTCTCGTTTCGAAGGTTGCGTAACGGCTGTTTTTCCGATGGCAAGTTTACATACATTAATCAACTACAACTGACCACACGATCAAATGTTAGACGGACTTGATATGAGGTCACCCTACGATGGAGGAGCAACGCTGACACACAATTGGTCAATTCTCTCTTTATCGTTGCTCTTGACAGGGAACCCTGCAGAGGGTCTTCCGGCTTCACCGTTAAATTTGCAGTCGCCATAATGTGACAAACTCGCAGGCCAATCCGCTTGTGCAAACCTCAGCACCTCATGGTGTACAGTCAAAGGTTTCTGGGTGGAACTATTTCTTGTGGTTCCGCATTACATGTAAAATCTTTATTTGTGTTAGCAGTAAAAATAAGTATGATAGAACAAATGATTCACTTTTGATGGAAATCTGTCTGTAGATGGAGCTCTGCCACCCATGATAATGAGACTTTACACTTCTCAGCTGAAATACCAGGAGATTTGCCAACTGATTCACTGAAAAATCAACAGTGCTTAAGGGCCTTCTGTTTATCCTGCTAATAACAATTAATCCCTGTAATTACACACAGGGACACTGTTATAGATGTCTTGACAAATAGTTTTGTTCCTTCTGTTTCAGTCACTCTGGATACGAGCTTAATGCCTATGAAGAAAATCTAATATCATTTTTCCAGCAGGAAAAAAAGCTAGAAAGAGCCTAAATGAATCCATATTAAACATTTCATGTCTATTCATCTGAAGATCGATTCATGCAGTTTTCATGGATTGTACCCAGTTGAATCCTTGAAATCATGACATGAAAAGAAATGACATTTCCCCCAGAGACAAACAAACAAGAAAAAGGATAGGTTGTGTTTAACAAACACAGAGCACACGTGCATGACCTACAACAACCAAAACCACAGACACTAAGGTCCAAGGCCAAAATACCTCTGGCTTTGAGTCTATAGGCGAGCCTTCCTCCTCACCCTGCAGGAGAGGAAGAGGTGGATGACAGGGAGGAGAGCAGAGGTCAGCAGAGTGTGTTAACATTACAGCCGGGAGAAGAGAAGATATGTTAGAAGCAGGATTCTGGGTTAGAAAAAAAAGTATCAACGGCAGCAAAGAGGTCAGGTTAGGTTAGGTTAGGTGTTGGGAAGCAGCTAAAGAAATGTAGAGGAGTCTTATAGGTCTGCAGAGGAGCAGAAAATAGAGGAAATTGGGCCAAGGAGAGAAAAAGTAGGGATGGTGATTATACTCTAAAATGAAAATCTTGTACCTTGAGCTCCAAAGTCCTGGTCGTTGTTGAGATGTGAGCACCCCAAGTTTGCCTCTGAACCTGATCTTGGTCCTGACCATCATGCTGCTCCAGCTCCTGCTCTGTGTACTGGTCCTGGTCCTGATAATGGTACTGATCGTGGTCCAGGTCAAGGCTGCCCTCTTGGTCCAGGTCTTCTCTGGACATGAACTGTGTGCGTTCACTGGAGCTCCGCTGGGACAGCTGGTCCATACTGTAGCCTATAGCCGAGGCTGGTGAAGTGCAATGGGAGGGAAACATAAATCACCTGGACTCAAGTGATAAAGCTTTTACATGACATAATCTACAGCACAGTCAGTGTAGGGCCATGTGCAGCATATATCAATAGGCTGTGCTCTAACATGATACACAAGTTGAAAGATGCTTTTATTTCTGTTTTTGCCTCACAACATAATCTGGGAAATGTAGGCGACCCTCCGTGTGAACGGTGAAATCATCTGGGTTCTTACCTCCATCAATGCTTCGGGGCAGCATGTACCGCTTGCTAACAGACCGGTCAAACTGTGGGGCAGGCCGGTCAATCAGAGCACTGGCCTGTCTGGTCTGGGCTTGGGTCCTCCCGCTGTAGCGGAACTTGGAGCCAATCACCAGGAAGCCCTTGGGAGGCGGCTCTGGGGAAACCAACCTGCAGGAAGGTTCAGATTGTGTAAATCTACCACAAGTGCTCAGATTCTGCCCCTTGTAGACATCTTTTATTACACAGTTTAGAGTCTTCGACAAGGTTATTCTACTGGTAATAATCTTCTGATCATTTCCTGAGAAGAACTACAGTCTGTGTTTTGGTAGTAAAAATACAGCCAAAGATCTTAGTTTAGTTGGGCTCTGAATCTGAGGTTGCCAGCGGAGAAATAAAGGAAATAATCCATTATAATTGGAATCTTTACACTAACTGCTGAATTGTGTGCTGGCCTGGAGACAAATTTCACGTGTTTGCAAGTTCAGCTGACCTGCTGTGCACGGACTAAGATACTCTCGAGTTTACAAAAGGAAAAAATGAATTAGAAATGTACCAACTGTTGTCTGCCCCCATTTAACCTATAATTAGTAGCAAATTACCAAGAATCAGCAACCTTCCTATGAATTTACAGTTACATATCATGTCTGTTCCATGCAAGGACATTATACAGAACTGTGGGACCTGTAAAAAAGAAGAGGATTTACCGTAAAAAGAACTCTAATGAGTTGCAAGGATATCTTCAGTCTTAACAGTTCATGCAGGGTGCAACGACTACGGTGCAGAAAAAGTGTGTCTGTCTGAGTATCTGTGACTATCAGGTCCTACCTGAAGAAGGTGTGGTTCTCAATGCAGACCTTCCACAATCGCTTCGAGGCCCGATGGTTTGGCAGTTTGAAGCCTATGGTGCTCTCAAACTGTTCATACTGAGCAGTGAGGGAAAGGAGTGATGTTGTGGTGGAGGAGGAGGATGAGGAAGGCGGTGAAGAAGAAAAGGAGAGTGAAGGGAGCAAGTGCGGGGAAAGATGGAGGGATGGTGGCAGGGTGAATTGTGTTTACTCTGCAGCAATGGACAAATCAATGATGCTTTTTTGTTAACTCTTAGAAATATATTCTCACATTGCCATGTCAGGGAGATTCTCCTCTAACCAACCTACAAATTAACTGTTCATGCACTCACTCCATCAGCTGTTTAGTGGTGTAAGCAGATGAAGGACGCATTCAAATCAATAGGTTATTAGCAATATAACAGGTCTTTAAACATAAGGTCTAGTCCAGTCACAAAAAAATAAATCTGTGGGGATGGTTTAGAATAAAAGGGTTTTAGAACACAATGATAACCCTGCAGGCAAATTTTAATTGACAGCTGACTTAAGAGGATAGATCTGCAGAACAAAGTATATGCACAGAATGGCCTTGGTGTTCGCTATAAAGACGTCAATGTCAGTTTAACAGTGAATGTAAAACACACTGCAGATACCCCGAAGGCCAAAGAATGAAGGAAAAAAAACCAGCAAATTATAATAATTTTAGGAGTTGAAAACCAGAGCGAGCATAATGTGGCTCCTACATTTGCGAGTAAAATCCTTGATGAAAGTGCAAATCCTCTTGACTGGCTAATCACACTTTAAATACACCATAGCGGAAGAGAGAAGGAGGAGAGGAACAAAAACATGACCTATCAGCCTAATCTTTAAGAACAGTATCTTTGAGGGCTATAAATAATGTCCTTGACAGTTGTCACATGGTTTGCTGCAGATAAATCTCAGAAGTAACACTTTTATTAAACCATGAAATGACTATTTATGCTGTTTGGGACGAGTCAAGAGAGACAATGATGTAATATTAACAACTGTGAAACCATGAAATAGAAATGTGGAGTTGGCGCTTTTACTAAATGATCCATCATTCCAGTTGCCTCTGCTCTTTCAGAATGACTGTCATGAGCTATTCTATTGGGAATATGTGGGCAGTTACTGCGCAGTGAACGCCAAAGCAAGGTGCAAAAGACAAGATAAGGAGAGATTTGATGTACCTCTCCTGGGCGGATCTTGATGTAGAAGTTGCTTCTCTTGTAGGAGATCTTGAGGATTTTTGGCCAGGCAAATCGGTTGATCCTTAGACGGTCTCGGTAGATGAGCAGACCGTTGGCGCTCACACCGAGCATTATGTCAATTCCTTCCGAATCCTGGTTGACACAAGCATTGAGCTTAGAAAAACCTCAGACAAAAGTGTGCTGCCAGATGAACAGTCTGGGAGTACCTACGTTTTGTCTCTGTACCTTAGCATGATGCAGGTCCACTCCATACATTGAGAGCTTCTTGGCATTTTCAAGAAAGTCCACCTCTGCCTCTGCTGGACTCATTCCCCTACGACACATTGTACCAAACACGATTTATCCCTTCTCTCATATTCATGCTACAAATCAAAACTACCAGCATTTGCCATTATCCTGATGGCCTTCAATTACATTGATGAAGTCATATTTTCTAGGACCTGTAGTTACGGTGCAACTCCATCACTCTCTCCTCCAGCTCACGTGTCTGGTTGGGTGCAAAACGGAAGTCGTTGACGTAGTCTGGGCCATGTTCCTCTGGCTCGTAGTCTCCCAGCTCGGCCTGGACAGTGTAGGAGCCCAGAAGGGCGTGGGTGACAAATGAGCAGGGCAGACGACCAGACAGGATGTCGTCCCTCAGCTGCAAGCACAGGTAGTACCTAAAGGAATGAGGGAGGTGGAGGCAGAAATGCTGCTGACATTTCAAGAATCTACATCACCAGGAAACATCTGGAAGAACCACTGCTAGATTTCTCAAATTTGACTCTGTCCAATACTGGTCAATAACAAAACATATCAGCAAATCTTATGACAATCCTGTCATCCGCATGCCTCATGATTAAGTCATTATCCTATGCATTCAATTATATTGATGATCTGGAACATAGGACATAGATCCAGCCGATTGATCTACATAGTTCTACAAAGGTAGGTCATTTAAATAACCAAAAGGTGTATTGGTTCTATTCACACTATTCACACCTACCTGGTGATGTCCTCAATAAGCACAGATGGGTCTGGGGGGTAGAACTTGACAGAAAATCCAAAGATCCAGAAACCAACTGTGGACAAATTACCAGAAAGGTTGTTTTGCAAATGGCTGCTCTATGTGTGTGTGTGTGTGTGTGTGTGTGTGTGTRTGTGTGTGTGTGTGTGTGTGTGTGTGTGTGTGTGTGTTGCAATTACCCCGAATTTGCTTCCTAATCTCTTTTGAGGGATCCAACCAATGCTGATAAAGAAAGAAAGAGACAATCCCCCTTAGAGAACTTTAACGTCAGCAAAATCATCCATATTCACATTTTAAGAGCCCCTTTAAGAACTATAAATCACTGGCTGCTCTCTTCTTTTTAAATCTATTCCCTAGTTGAAAGCCAAATATATTCGTACTACAATAAACAGGATGAAGGCTTCTACAAACACTGAAAGCATCAATATTGAGGCTATGAATGGCAGTTGAGTCCAGTTGCCTACGCTTAATGTCACTTGAGCTTTCATGGTGCACCTGTGCACCATTTTTAAAATGGTAACATTTTAAAAGGATAAAGGTCATGTATGCCACTCTGGAAGTGGTAAAGTACGGTTAAAAGGGCAACTGAGGACTCACTGCTTCATGACACCTGGAAAAACAGTCTGGTTAAATGGGCTGTTTGGCTGAAAGGCTGGTTGACATTTGCTCTGAAATCAGTGACCAAAAAAAAAAGTAAATAAACTATTAGAAGCAGGTATAAAGAAACACGGCAAATTCAATGTCAACACATAGATTTGGCCTTGGACTCTACAAAGCTATTCACCACGGAGAAACCTAAATTACCCCAAATATCATGAGTCATGAGCCCAGAACAGAAGAATCTCTTGAACAAAGGATCAGAACTCAAGTCTAAAGTGACTTTATACAATTTTACACGATAAACAAGCATGCCTGCAAACCATAATGGATCCAGAGACACATCGTTAACAAATAAAAATGCATGCTCGACAGTACCCTTCTCTGCCAGAGTACTGTCCAGTAAACCACAGGATCTTTGGGTTTTATTTTATTACATTTTACGGGTAAGAACTTCATGTTATAAACACGCATGCACCTTCTCTGTGTATGTGAGAGGACTTTTACGAGCCACATTTGTAACTTCACACAATCCAATTCAGGATAGTTTCTAATTTGGGACAAAATTGGTGTCCCATGTTTGTTTCAATTGCAGCTGCATTTGCCTCAAGCTACAGAAGTTTGGATCTTAGAATGATTATATTCAACTTCCTCAAGTAAAACTTCCTCAAGTAAGATATCTTAATGCATGCGTGTGTGTGTGAGTGTGACAACCTTGGCGTTGTCCGTGTCCTGGAAAGTCAGGCCAAAGTAGTCTCTCTCCAGCAGGTTCAGATGGCCACACACCATGTCCAGCAGGGTCTGGCCCCTGGCAAATTTCTGTTACACACACACACACCAACATATAAGAACACACAGCGAGTGGGCAGGTGACACAGTGCAGGTTCAGGTTGTTTGAACATCATGTATTGTAAAAGACAACAAGAATAGGATAGAGTGTAATAATGCAAGTCAGTAAAGATGTATAAGATTGTGTCTGATGGCCTCGTCCTTGAGACCCATTCAGTATAACTGCACAGTCCCTGGTTCACCTCCATTCAAGAACCTTTGTTGTATGTCATAGCCTTCTTTCTCTCCCCATATTTCCTGTCTACATCTTCCCTATTAGCAAGCCGCAAGAGGAAGAAAATAATTGTAAAATGGTTTATTCTAAACCAATATTGTATTAATTATATATGCATGTGGTAATTATCAAGTAAAAATAAAGCTAGCTGTTATTTTACTACAGTCTTTAATCATATTTCATAACATAAAGGTGTAAAAAAAAAAATAAAAAAAATCAGTGACATAAAAATCCACCCCAAATGTGGTGTGAGAGAAGCTTCCAGTGTGTCCTCTCCCCTGTGGAGCAGGAGGAGCTACACTCGTTGCATGTCTATATAAGGGGATGAAATGCATCTCGCATCAGTGGTGTCAACAGACCACACCTATTCTCTATCCAGCCCTTCAGGGGTGAAAACAAGGCCTCCGTGGGATGCACCGACGGCCTTGGCAAAATGCTATCTCCACAGAGACATGCACAGACACACACACGGCCAGATTAATCTCCTAGGGAAACCTGGCTCCTATGGCGACAAAGCAACGAAGCAGCTGTTACCATGGAAACAGAAGTAATAGGTCCCTTCTGTATGTGCGTGCGCCCTCTCACTTTCTCCATCTCTGGCTACTACCAGGCCACAGCAGAGCTTTGTTCATCTGTTGTAGGAGAAGCCAGCAGTACAGTCAGCATACCGTCTAAATATTTCACACTAATTAATTAACCATTATAAAGGGATCCGTCTTTCAGTCATATTAATAACGTGTATATCCTGCTGCACTGAGGCTGCTACGTGTGAAGCAGTGAGAGAACAATGCTGATTAACAGGCAGGGGCAGATTCAGGGACTTTTTTTTTTTTTCTGGGAGCAGCGCATATATTTGATTTTCTTACAAAATTGAATTGTAACGCACATCTCAGGTGGTCCCACAAGCATGGCAACCAGTTGACATATTGGAGCTGCTGATGAGATTTCTTTGTCACTCCGATTGGCTCCAATCACATTTATTTAGCTATTTCTGTGGGTTGATTGTGTTTGCAGCCATTTGGTGTAATCCTAGAAATCCATTTTGCTGATCGCCTCGCCCATGAAAACAAGATGAGGAGAGACAGTGTGTGCGTGCGTGAATGGGTTAATGGCTGACCGAGGGGAAAGTAAATCTGTCGAACTAATTCGCTTTAAGTAATGTAAGCGGAGGGAAAACACTGGAATCAAATAACTAAAGAAAAACTGTAAAGATGAGTCGGTGTTGCTGCTATTACGCAACGGCTTTGTTCTTAGCTACAGTGATTAACTTTACTATTAGGTTATTATGTGAAACGAATGACAAACAATCCCACCGCAGAACAATTTCAGCGGTAAGAGGAGTATAGTGATGTAGAAAGGCACTTTCACAAAATGGACTTGTTTGATGAAGACAGTTTTTTTCTTAAATGGTTTTTCTTAGATATCCTGAATTTCAGTCCCTATCATGGGTAAAGCTCACAAAATGCAGGAACCCATATATTAGATATCATCTTTCAAATCCAACACCTTCAGTTTTTATTACAGGTTTTCTATCATGAATTTGAAGCCTGAAAACCCAGCGCTCAGACCACCCTGATGACATCACCGGGGCTATTTCTTTCAGAATTCAGAAAGCTCCCTCCAGAGCCACAAAATACGTCCGTCAACTTTATTCACGGGACATCTCTCCTTGTCATGAGTAAACTGAGCTTTATGTGTGAAATAGGTGGAATGCCCTTTAATAAACTTTGTATTTCACAATCACACTATTTTACATTTCAGTTGAAGTAAACAAACAGTGTTGCAGACCTCACACTGGCTACATGAAGCAGCATTACATCCAAGGCTATCGTGGTGGAAAAACATGTGAATGCAATAAACATTCAAATTGCAATACTTGAAGTCAGAGGGACAAAACATATACTGGTTCCAGAGTCATTTTATTAAAAGATTCAATGACTCGTTCACCAAGGTTGGTTCATGACCACTTTGAAAAGAAAGCCTCAAAAATATATTAAATTGGTTTTGAAGTTCCTAAACAATAAAAGTCTTGTTCGCTCGAAGCATAGCGGATACGAGCTGGCTCTAAGAAAGACTGCCCTTCAACCAGACAGTTTGTGCTCCAGCATTGTCAGGTACCCATTTAAGCGAGAGAGCTATATGCTGCAGGGAAACATGTTAGATGGGTGCTACTAAATGGGAAGAAATTACACTGAATATACTGAAGATAAAGTGATGTTGTTATTCTTTAAAGAGGCCGAGCTTAGTCCCAGTGTCATGAATCTTTTATTTGGTTTTAACTCGTTTAACCACACGAACTTCACATTTATGGAGCTAGTGGTTTTCTCCCACTTTGAATGTAAGAATGTTGAGCACTCTGGACTGTATGGGTTTAATGCTTTTATTCTGTGCTTAGAGAGATGCATCTGTGGTCCCACTATTTACTGCATGATTATTGCTACTTCTGCATCCCAAGGGAAAAGCTAATTATTTGGGTTGGGTCACAGATATTACAGGTTTGTATTACAATTCGGATGTGAAAAAGAATCACATTCTACCAGTGCCAGTGCAACATAGATATTATTTCCATCACTGTGTAAAAAAAAAAGAAAAAAGAAAGGTATAAATAGCTTAGCTGGTCAACATCAGCAGCTGAGCTCTTAAATATCGTTGGCACGGAATGCTTTGCAGACCCCAAACAGCAATGCCTCTCCAATAAAGTGGAATCACTGTTATGTGGTTAACCGGCAGAAATGAATGAAGAGTTGAAATGAGCAGTAGTATTTTATGGACCTGCAGAGAAAATTCTGTTCAGCCAAAGTTTAAGTAGATAAAATATTTGGTACAATGGTCTCCTCCTATTAAAATGCCGGATGTTTCATTAAAGGGAAAAGTAATAGCTTAAGATCTTTCTTTAAAGGATGGCATTAGGTTAAGGACTGGACAAATGCACTGAGCTCGATCAATATCTATAATGTTGTGAGCCAAGCATCAATAGGAGGCTCCGGCTGTGTCTCTTTGTTTTTATCATCAGTGCACGCTCGCTCAGTGGACATCATGACCGTCATTATATCAATGATTTCACTGCATTCATCAATGTGTCCCCGCTTGGCTTTTCTCCATTGCACACACAGTCATATACACAGTCACATACATACTACAGTACACGAGCACGCACTCCATCTTTCTCTCTTCCTCCTCCCCCACTTTCTTCATCTTTTCCTCCTCCTATTTCCTTCTCCCATTCTATTTTCTCCCCGGTCAGACATAAGAGCACTCATCTGTCAACCCTATGGATTTCTTGTCAAAGCCCAATACCTCCAGTCTCACTGGCCAGGTGACATGAAGAAATGTGTGCGTGTATGCACGAACATAATCAAGACAGCGGGAGAGATGGGGGGGGGGGGTTGAGCTGAAGGAGAATGTGCGTGTGATGCCTCGGTCACTACTCAGGACATATTTCTCCACTCAGAAGTAAAATATGTGAGGTCACGTGAGAGGCAGCAAGCCATAAAAGGAATAGTGACATGAATGAGGTTGAGCCAACAAGATCATTCCCGTCACACATCACACTCCATCATCAGCAGCAGTCAATGGGGCTTCAGTGCTGGTTTTAATGTGATTCACCGCTGCTCTGTAAGTCCTGGCCAGGATATCCCTCTACGTGAAACACCCCCTTCGACATCCCTCGCTCTACCAGTCGTTTCGCCCCACATGAATTCTCTGCGATGTACGATCGTGATGAGCGTTTGGGCTGCTGTGAAATTCAAATAAACCAAAAGCTACGCCCGTCTGTTTACAAACACAAAAGGCTACAGAGTCACGACTTATGGAAGCCGGGGATTGCTCATCTGAGCCTTTCCATCCCCCACAATGCAGAGCTTGTCTTACCTCGCTCCACGAGTCAGAGCTGCATTTCCAGTAGCATGTATTACCGAGGGAGACTAAATCCCACTAAGGTGTACCGTGGTGTGCTGAGTCAAGGGCTGTGTTTAAATGGGGGAAATGTACAACAGCTTCTTAAAATGCTATATTCCTGGTCAGCCTGTACAGCGAGATATGAAATTTAAGCCGGTGTGCATTTTAGTGAGGAGAAACAGCTAAACTGTGTTTTAATAGCACTGCAAAACAACATTATTATTATTTGTGATTATGTTTGCAGAATTCAATCTTGATATATTTTCCCCAGCTTATAGGTTGCTGAGAAAGATTTCCTACCATCCTCTATTTTCAACATTATTCCCTGGAACACATTTTCCAAGCAGATCAGTGCCGGTAAGTTTCAGGACATAGTCATGCAGGACCGTAAAGCATGCTAGTATACAATCCTGAGTCAGGGTTACAAGTAAACAGTTTAGCTAGATCATATAAACCGTTTTATCTGGAGGTAAACGTTTAAGTGGTGAAGTTTCCATCAATTTGCAAAAAAAAGCAAATTAAAGCATTTCCATCGTCTACTTTATGATAATATTAGGAGCTGTGTCAAGAACAATTGGTGTACTCATTTTCTATTGATAAATGCACTGTACTTGTAGAGCGCTTTTCTAGTTTCCGACCACTCAAAGCGCTTTAACACTACATGTCATCATTCACCCATTCACACACATTCACACACTGATGGCAGGGGCTACTATGCAAGGTACCACCTTCAGGACTATGTAATCATTCACACCCATTCATACACAGCAGGCACAGCCTGCGGGAGCAATCTGGGTTTAAGTGTCTTGCCCAAGGACACATTGACATGGACTAGCAGAGACAGAGATCGAAACGCCGATGCTCTGATTGAAGAACGACCCTGCTCTACCGCTGAGCCACGGTTACCCCTAATTAACCTGATGTAGAAGAAAAATCACACAATTAAAGAGCGCAAGAGCAACCAGTAAATACAATGTAGAAAACATGATGGAAATATGGCGTGTCAGTGTGTTTCATGTGTTAATTTGATGAACGTTACAGTCTCAATTTTCATCCTTTGCTGTTGTTCATCTCTTCAAGAAAGGGAAAGCTTGAGTGATGCAGGCTTTTTTTGACGTCATGATACATCAACCAAGTCTGTTTACATTTTTAAGTCAGTATTTTCTTCAATCAACTATTCCACCCGAGCCAAGTGCAAAAATAGTTTGCAATATTTTAATATATTTTTTAAATTTCTGGCGTTTCCACTCTGGCATTTCTGATGCAACAATTGAAAATATGCAGAAAAACAGGTGCTTATAAGTATTATAAGGATCTAAAAATGTTATAATAATCCCTCATTGCACATGAATGCTGTGTGTGAGCACAACTGCGGCTAATAAGTAAGTCAAAGCTGGACAAAGAAGTCAGTCTGTAAAACATCTGGGTAGCATTTCTATTGTTTACCTGTTGTTTTGGTTCAAACCTCTGTGATTGTCTGACTGCTCATGCCTTGCCTGTCTCAGATCTCAAACAAATAATTTGATAAGTAAAATGTTAATATTACTGATAGAAATTATATAAATGAACATAAGGCCTGTGTTAATCATAGTAATCTTTTCTCATGGATTGATTAGCCATAATCCCCATCCTTTGCTGATGAAAAGCAAGTAGCGTACCTCAACTCCAGCCTCGTAGTCTGTTCCGTCAAGTAGAGTGACTTTGACCGGGACGGTCTTGGGCCGTTTGGTGCTTTTCTGGGGGGATTTGGAGGCTTTGCTGGGGGTCTTCTCTGAGCTATCATCCATGTCGTCCTGGTCCTCTGGAACCTTGGAGAGAGAAAATCCTTCCTCTAAGTGTGTGAACTTCAAATCACCGTGCTTTGACTTTTATTTAAATGTCTGAATTCTGAGTCTCAACTGCCATTATGTGCTTGTCTTCCAAAGTGATTTAAATCCCAAATCTTTGATTATGTGAGGCAATCATCAAATGCATGATGTTGTATGAGCTGCTGCTCTAAGATGTTGAGATGTTAAGTTGCTGGCACAGGCGGACGGGGCTAGCTGCCTTGCATATCAAACATGCCGGAAGGCCCCTGAGAGATTGAAAGGCCTGAGTAAAATGATCTACAGCTGCTGTGAGTTTAACAGCACTCCCACCTGATTGGTTCTCATGGCGTCAACTTCCATTGCGCTCTTCAGTTCCCCAGCCAAAGCCGTCTCTGTTGTCATAGAAATGGATTGCAGTCCTGCAACATAAACATATTCAGTCCACATCAACAATTTTCCTGTCAAAAAAAAAACAACAACTGTTGGGTGTTTACTGCTGCCATAAGTCCAGTCTAACGATGGATTCCTGATACAGACTCAGGAAACATGAGCAAAACACTTTCCCATCTATACACAGCATACAAAATATTCACTTAAAGGAATACTTCACCCAAAGAAAAGACCATTTGTTTATCAATTACTCAACTTGTTACCTTGAATATTTGAAGAAAAGGATGCGTTTAACAACAGCATAATATCAAAAGGACAATAGCATGCTTGCTCAAGCATGAGACTGTTTATGTAGAAGTGTTTTGAATAGTGAGGTTTTAGTAAAAATGCACATGTTCGGGATAGGGGTTGGCGATATGACCTGTTAACATCACCTTTCATGCAAAACAAAAGTTTTGCATAATTCAAGAATTCAAGGTAACACGGGGTGAGTCATTTACAAATATAAGATCATGTTGTGGCTGAAGTATTCCTTTAAACTGACTTTGGGTATAATTAATGACCACAGAACAGATACCTGCAGCGGGACATCACATGCAATACGACTTTGCAGCTGACAGCTGCTATGTGGAATCTGTAATTATACTGTACTGCCATGCAGATTGAGTGTCTTCTTCACACGCATGGTAATTGCACTGTGCATGGAGAGATGGTGAAAGAGAGGAAGAGGGTAGCTCAGCCAGTGCTGGCTCACAGACTCCCACAGGAGCACTCTGCATGAAGAGTGCTGGCTTCATGACGCTCTCCTCTCACACTAGCAAAGTAGATAGCATAAATTACATCAGTCAGAGAGCCCTGCGGCATGGCACAAGACAGCAGACACACCGAGGTAGAGAGAGAGAGAGAGAGAGAGAGAGAGAGAGAGAGAGAGAGAGAGAGAGAGAGAGAGAGAGAGAG